TAAATGAAATAAATAATAATATAAATATTTAAATAAAATATAATTAAATTTATAAAATATTTATAAAATATAATTATAAATAATAATAAAAATAATATATAAAATTAAATTATAAATTATTAATATATAAAAATAATGTTATTATAAAAACTTAGAAAGTAAATATAAGAAATAAATAAAGAAAAAGTAACAAAAAGTAACAGAAATTGCACTTTGAAAAAACTCTGAAAATTATCTGGGAAGTATTGCATACATACTAATTTCTGTAGCAGTATTGCAAGTTAAGTAAGAAGGACCAACTTCACATTTGGGGGTGGTGTATCTTAATGTGCATCCTTAGCCCTGTTGTGGCAAGATGCCTCATATCTTTTCCTCTGCTGACGCTCACACCGCAATGCCTGCAAACTGCCAAAGTGGCCCTCTCATTATGGACGTCGTAATGATCCCATAGGAGCGATCTCGGCCTACCCCTACTAGGCACTTCAGATGTACTCATGCTCGTGTTTGGACTGTCGGTGTTTGTGGAAGGGAGTATAATCGTTGGTTGTTTCTGTAGCTCGCCCTCCATCAGCATGCAGTCCTCTTGATCACTAATTCCTGTGGTGGAAGCACATTCCATCTTGTCTTCCTCCCATTCCTCTGACACGTCTGCCTCCTCGCCCTCCTCTTCATAACAAGTAATATCAGAGGTACTTGGAACGACATCAGGATCTGAACGTAGAGTCTTTCGAACTGATGAAGAAGAAGGTTCTGCCATCTCACAGCTGGTTGAAGCATCTGTGGGTGTATCAATAACCATCTCGTTGGTTGAATGTTCCCTTCTTGTCAATGTGTTCATCTTCAGTCCCCTGCCTTTCTTCGGTATTCGCGATAGCACTTGGCCCTTGCGACTAGAAAAGCCGGGAAGGAAGCGTTTCATCACACTGGTTGGAACTACACAAATAATGAGCAAAAGGAGCGCACTGGTTGGAACTACACAATAATGAGCGAGCAGTGTATGTAGCACTTTGTGTTGGCAAAAGGAGCGCACTGGTTGGAACTACACAAATGAGCGAGCACTGTATTATAGCACTTTCTGTTGGCAAAAGGAGCGCACTGGTTGGAACTACACAAATGATGAGCAAGCACTGTATTATAGCACTTTCTGTTGGCAAAAGGAGCGCACTGGTTGGAACTACACAAATGAGCGAGCAGTGTATGTAGCACTTTGTGTTGGCAAAAGGAGCGCACTGGTTGGAACTACACAAATGAGCGAGCACTGTATTATAGCACTTTGTGTTGGCAAAAGGAGCGCACTGGTTGGAACTACACAAAATGAGCAAGCACTGTATTATAGCACTTTCTGTTGGCAAAAGGAGCGCACTGGTTGGAACTACACAAATGAGCGAGCAGTGTATGTAGCACTTTGTGTTGGCAAAAGGAGCGCACTGGTTGGAACTACACAAATGAGCGAGCAGTGTATGTAGCACTTTGTGTTGGCAAAAGAAGCGCACTGGTTGGAACTACACAAATGAGCGAGCACTGTATTGTAGCACTTTGTGTTGGCAAAAGGAGCGCACTGGTTGGAACTACACAAATGAGAAACGCACACACAGGCACACAAGATTCTTTTCTTTTTTTAGATTTTTTTTTAAGAATAAAAGACAGGTATTTTTAAAAAATATTCAGAAATGGAAACTTAACCAAATGCTCTCCCCGCAGTGGAGCCAACAGCCACAAGACGGGGGAAACGCACACACAGGCAGGCACACAAGATTCTTTTCTTTTTTAGAATATTTATTGATTTTTTTGGAGAATAAAAGACAGGTATTTTTAAAAAATATTCAGAAATGGAAAATTAACCAAAAACTGGCCCTGATGTGGACCAAACACAGCCACGAGACAGGGCAAATGAGAGCACACAGCAACAGAAGAGTCTTTTCTTTTTAGAATATTTTTTGTATTTTTTAAGAATAAAAGGCAGGTATTTTTAAAAAATATTCAAAAAAAATTAACCAAAAACTGGCCCTGATGTGGACCAAACACAGCCACGAGACAGGGCAAATGAGAGCACACACCAACAGAAGAGTCTTTTCTTTTTTAGAATATTTTTTGTATTTTTTTAAGAATAAAAGACAGGTATTTTTAGAAAATATTCAAAAATGGAAACTTAACCAAAAACTGGCCCTGATGTGGACCAAACACAGCCACGAGACAGGGCAAATGAGAGCACACAGCAACAGAAGAGTCTTTTCTTTTTTAGAATATTTTTTGTATTTTTTAAGAATAAAAGACAGGTATTTTTAGAAAATATTCAAAAATGGAAACTTAACCAAAAACTGGCCCTGATGTGGACCAAACACAGCCACGAGACAGGGCAAATGAGAGCACACAGCAACAGAAGAGTCTTTTCTTTTTTAGAATATTTTTTGTATTTTTTTAAGAATAAAAGACAGGTATTTTTAGAAAATATTAAAAAATATTTAAAAATGGAAAATTAAAAAACAAATTCACAAAAACCGAAGGAAGGAATGAATCCAAGCAAGGAATAATAAGCACTAATCCAAGCAGTTGCAAGCCAACCCAATGCAAACCCTCCCGGACCTCTTCTCTTCTCCCTCGCCCTCTGCAGCAATGAGCTGTACGGCCGCGTGGAGCCGCTTTTAAAGGGCTCGCCGGCCAATCAGAAACAGCCACGGTGCACTGCTTGGGTGCTTGGGAGCGCCGGATTGGCTCCCAGGGCACCAGCAGCCTCCATCCCATTTACGAAACGGGCGGAAGCTCGTTAAATCTATGGGGGTTGCCGGTTCGATATTTTTAAACCCTTCCGGGTTTGAAAATGTGTTTTGTTATCGTTTCGTAAATGCTAAAAATAACGAATATTTAACGAATTACAAAATTAACGAACGAAACCGCCCAGGCCTAATATTTATATATAGCTATCATGAGGGTGAAGTGTCTTTTTTACAGTCTTTTAATCCTTACCACCTCCCAGCTTTCCTATTTCTTCTGACTAGCTGGACATTTTAGAACTATCATTGGCATTGGCATGGTGGTAAAAGACTAGTGAAACACAGATTCTGTGTGGTCTGGGTTCCTTTTCTCGAAAGAAAAAAATCATTATCTTGGTTATAGTTGACAATATGAGTAACTCGTTTCCATATTTTTGTCGGCATCCATAACTTTCCAACTTAATATCAGCTAATAAGTTTTCTTTTCCACCCATTGTGGAGCAACCAGTATAATCTTTATTGGTTACATTTTCAGAGACAGGGTTTGTAATGTTTATTATTGTAAACATGTTTTCTTTGAAGACTTTTACCATTTGTTGTTCTTTATTAGGTTTCAATTACTTGGTAATTGAGAACTCATTGTAAAGTTTGTTTTGTCTTTAGCTGTGTATTAAGAGCTTTGCAAAGATATTTTGCGTACTTTCTCTGACTTGATTGGTTTCTTTTTGGTAAATATACATTGTAATATCTCAATTAGTCTGCTACTACATTTAGCAACTACTGGCGTCTGCAGATCTATGTGTATATTTATATCTATGTTTATTATCTATCGTCTTGTTTTACCTTTGTAACTGCACTACAACAGTTACAACTTTTTCACCTAGCAACTCTATTCTACCTGGGATTTTTTACTTATATAGGCAACAGAAACTCTGGTATGGAATGCCATTTAAGTTCCTATTTAGGACAATGACATTTCTTTTATTGTGGCTGTGGTTGAAGCAGAGTGTTGCACAACTCAAGGATTGAGGCTTTTGATTTCCATTAATTATCAAGACTGCCCAAAACTTATGTTGAGCTGAATACAAGTAAAGAACGTTAAGAAGGGAGGTACAATTCCTTTGGTGATAAATATTAATACCCTGATGTTGTGATACAACAGTCTACTAGTGAAGTTAGTCCCAAAGGGCTAGCCCAGGCATGGGCAAACTTCAGCCCTCCAGGTGTTTTGGATGCCAACTCCCAACAGGCAGGCATGGGCCAGACTGTTATTTCCAAAACAATGGAAATAGCCAAGGTGGAAGCAGGACAAATGCTGTATTGAATAGAATAAACTGAGGTGCCTTTGGTAATGTTTGAAGACACCACTTGTATGGCCATGCATTCATGTATGATTATTAGTGAAACTTTAGACTCAAGAAATCTGTTTAAATATATATTACCTGAAACTTCAGTGTCACTCCCCAGTGATTTTACATGCCTGATGGTTTTGTTTGATCCAGTATTTCTATTAATGTGACATGTACAACTCTTGAGCCAATTTTTAATTTCCAAAGCCCTCTAGCTAGTGATTTGTTTCTTCCCTGAAATTTGCAGGGTGGGGGCGGAGATGTGACAAAAGGCCCACTTTGGACTCTATCCATTCCTGTCTTTGAATATACCCACTGTGGATTTCTTGACAAATGACTTCTGACTGAATGTTGCAAACAGAAAACACGGTCTAGCTTGCCCCTGATTTAAATCACACATTGATTTGATTTACTTGGTATTATCTTTCTGTATCAAGGACTACCATGGTTGGATGCAGTGAATCCTTTTCCTTTGTTCACCATTGCTAGTCTGTCTTCCTCCTTTTTTCCTCTTTTCCCTTCAAGCATGAAATGAAACCGAGAGCCACTTCTGCATTAAAGTGCTGGAGGACTTAGAGATTCCTAAAAAGAACCTATTAATCAAATCTACCTAAGAATCAAATCTGCCAAAGGTAACCTGCAATGTGGAGGGTCAACTGTGCTTAATTTCGTAGCTGATGTGGGATTCTGAGCAATATTTCTTCCTACACTACTAGGAATAGCCAGTAGATGTCAGTGGAAGTGCTACTGTCAAAACAAACTCATGGGCAAAACATATACTTTCTGTACTTACTTAAAAAATTACAAAGTTGTGCTGACTTTTAAAAGTTTCCATAGTTAAACTGTCAATGATGCTTGGTTCCATAGCAACTCAAAGAAATATTGTGTGTAAAAGAAAATGTTCAGCTAGCATAAGGCAATGTACCAGACAGATGTGAAATTGGGCAACAAAAATGCAGATTTATTTTGAACTTATTCCAGCACATCCATTTTTACTGAAACACAACCACTTCATCATCTATATTTCTATAATTCAGGAACAAAGTGCAAAATATACATATATGGAGGCAAAACTCACACTCAAGCATCTCTTGTTGAAAGAGAACAATTTGTACATCATGTGGAGAAGCACACAATTCTAGTATGTGCACAAAATCCCACTGGGATGAAATGAAGAAGGCTCAATTTGCATCAGTGCTAGATTTCTGGTCCCTTGCCCAATACAGGGGAAAGTGTTGAATTTGTGCAGCCAAGTAGTAAAATTTCCTCTTTGCAAATTAATAACACCAATGCTACATTTATGAAAATTGTCCTGAGTTCCCTTATATGTTGCATTGTTAGCAAATGTATATATTAAATAAATATGGGTTTTCTTGCAGGTTGGATTAAAGGCATCTTCCAAGATTACTAGCATGTATTACATAGTCTTACAGGTACTTTTTGAAAAATGTGTGTCTCTATTTTCAGTGGAAGTAGTTTTCTGTTTTATATGCACACATGGTTGCAGAACCAGAATTTTTTTATTGTTTACTGTTATCATAGAAAATAATTCTTTACCTTGACATTGTGCTTTCCCGCACAAGGTCTGTAATTTTTAAGCCAATTGCCCGAACCTGAAATCCAAATTCCTAGTCTTCTAATTATAGTAAACATAGCAATCTATTATGGGCATTCAGCCTACTAATTTTAAATGTTTTGTTTTTTGGAATGAGTAGGAAAAAAGTAGAAAAACTGCAAAAGTAGAAAAATTGCAGGAAAAATGCTAGAGAGACAACACCTCTCTAGGTCCTCCATAATGACTCTATGCATATTTAACATGTTAATAGTTGACATAAGGATTGCACTGGAGTATCTAAATACTTCAAAAGAAAGCATATTAAATCAAATCTGCAAATAATCAAATCCACAAAAGTTAAAACCCACAAGTTTGGAGGGGCAACTATAATCAAATAGTGTGCAACTGGTTTTACCTGATGAGGATAGTGTAAACAATGGTGAAATTTAAATATGGCATTCAGAATCTATGTAGGAGACAGAACCTATGTAGGAGACAGTGTGTCTTCACTATTATTTTAGTAGCTGAGTTTCATTGCTGCTGCAAGTTTGATTAGAAAGCAGAAGTGCCACTTGTGTTGTGGCACTTCACTCTCGTTTTATATTCTTAGAGAGACACATAAAACCAGTGCCTTATGGTATCATGTAGTATCAAAAGGCATTTTAAAACATCAAAGTAAGCATATTGTAGAAACATCAAACTGGCTGTAAAACTGTACATTTGTGCTAGCTGAAAAGTGCAATGAAACGATTGATGATTAGAAACTTATTTGCTTATTGAGCCTCTGAAGGCCAACATCTTATTGAGCAAGCAGAAGCTTGAGATGGGCATAATATTTGTCTTGCAATACATGGAATCAGTCACTTTGAGTCAAAAGTTGACCCAAAAAATAGTGACTTCCACAATGTGGCAAGCAATTGACATAACCAACACACAAGACTTTATCCTGCACATATTTATGGAATATGGACTCAATCCAGCTGCCCTTGGATAGCTACTGTACTTAGCATATTGTTTTAGAATAACTGAAAGCCCCTCCATATATTGCATTGTATCTTTGAGGCTTTTCACCAGTAGCCTCTAAGATTTGGTTCTTAGTTCCCTCCTTTTCGTCTCCAATGGGATGGGCAGGGCTACCTGTTGCCTAACATGTAGATATAAAAGTCTCCAAAGTGGAACCAAGCACATAATTTCATTTCTGAGGTGGAAATACCCACACAATTGAGGCCACAAATACAATAGGAAAAGTCACATAACAAGCTCAGACAGTGGTGGAAACCAAGGTTCTCATCACAAGCCCTGTCTGATTACAGAATCTATAATGACACTATATTTCAGCACAGAGGACAGCTGTGGTCCTCCAGTTGTTTTTGGCCTTCAACTCCCATAAACCTTAACCAACATGGTCAATGGTGAAGGATTATGAAAGATGCAGCGCAAACCCATCTGGAGAATTACAGTTGACCATCTCTGTTGTAAATTATGAGGAACATTAAAATGTTCAGTTTAGAAATGGAAGGCAGTAAGTGGGCTATTGGGTTGTTGTAGGTTTTTCAGGCTGTATGGCCATGTTCTAGAAGCATTCTCTCCTTACGTTTCGCCTGCATGGCAGGCATCCTCAGAGGTTGTGACGTCTCAGTGGGCTAGTGTTGGTGCACTAGACTTCAAATAATTCTTTGGATTGTAAACTCCAAATGAAAATACATGTTTTGTATGGGTAGTGAAGTCCTCCTATAGAAACTGGTTTGTTATCAACGAAAGATAATAGTATAGTAATTCTGGCACTGATCAATAATAATTATTTATTATTCTGCTGATTCAGAGGGCCTGTTGCATTAGTGCAAGATACGTGGTTCTCCCAGATGTGACTGAACTGCAACTCTCACCCACCTCTGTCAGCATGGCCTAGGGCAAGGAATTATGGGAGTTGCAGTGCCATGACACCCAGGAGGCTCCACATGTTTGTACTCCTAGACTATAGAAATTAATGCAACCCAAAGTACACAGCAACAAAAAATACTTTAAACCCTGTAAACAAAACCCCAAACCGACCAGCAGTCATTACTAAAATAAAATAGTACATGTAAAAATATTTCATCTATAAAACTCATAAGACATTTTCATGGAAAAAGAAGGAAAATAGAGTGAAACAGCACAATAATCTGTAAGGCACTCCCAAGTAGTTGAACCAGAGTGGTTGCAAGCACTGCTTGTGGCTCAGGGCTGGTAGACGAGGACAATCACTGCTATATTCAGTCCTTAGTGAGTTCCAAAGTTTCATCTACATCTTCCACATCCTTTCCCATCTTTTCATATTTCCTCTTAAAGAAACCAAGCTGTAAGAAAATGTTGAGGTGTTTAAAACACATAAATATGTTTAAGAAGTGTTTAAATGTGAATACGTATTTATGTATGTGTGCTTACATGTAAGTATGCCTATGTATTACTTGCTACCTGTACAATCTTTCCTTCACATTCACTGGAGCTAGAAGCACAGGATCCCCGTTAACATTGAAAAACTACTAATAAAGAAATTGCTATTTTTTAATCTGAAAGAATATCTTTTTAAGAATCCCAGCATGACTCTATGGTCAACTTTCACTAGAAGCTGACCATATAATTGCATTGGAAAACCTAGAGATTCCTAAAAAAAATGCATTTTTAATTAAATTGGTGAATAATCAAATTTGTAAAAGTCACTGCAAATGTTGAGGAGTGGCTGTACTAGGCCATTAAAACACTTACAATTCTGTAGTTTTATTTAAATAGAGCACTTCACTATGTACATCAACACACTGCTAAACAAACAATACTAAACTCTCCCCTTAATAAGGTGAATTGAAACTTTGGCTTCCATTTTAACTAACCACTGTTTTCTGCTAAATCAAAACAGAAAAATTGTGGTTAGTCTTCATTATAGAACCACATGTGCAGATTCTAGCTTGTTTTCCTAAGTCATAGGTAAGAGTAGACATAACAAACCACTGTTAGTCAAAAACAGAAACAACCACAGTCTCCTTAAGGCCACACTATCCTGTTCAATGGATCATGTGTCCAGCCTACCTTCTCATAAAATACTGAACATGATAGCAACCACTTTGCACAGCATATAGTCTTAGAATATCAACCATAGCTGAAGGGTTTCTGGGGCACTGCAAACAGGGTATGAGGAAATGATGGTTGCACTCTCTCCTGGTCGAATTTCTCCAGATCTTATCTCAATGGACGACAACTAGGAGAGGGCTGCAATCAGCATTTCCCCATGTCTAGATCTACAGCATCTTAAAAACTCTTTTGTTGGGGCAATGCATGGTTTAAGAGATAAGTTGGAGAGGGGTGTGTTGCAGCAGATGTAACTATGAAGAAAAAGCTATCATCATAGCTATGTCTGATGATACAGGATCTCAGCCAGCAACCGAAGAATATTATAGACATCACATCCTGTCTGTTCGTGGTAGCTATGTCAGCCCTAGCTAGTATGTGGATGGAGGACCATCAATGAATATCAGATATTGTAGGCAAAACCACTTCTAAATAGTCTTTGCCTATGATAACACTATGAAATTCATTAAGTTGCCATAAGTTGACAAGCAGTTTGAAGGCACACGCTTAATCACACACACAACTGGAAAGATCTGATGTAATTAACTTCTTAATATTAGTGTTTACTTACTTTCCATAAAGCAGCAATGAGAGCTACCAGCAAAAGCAGACCCACTAGGACACTTCCTATTACAACTCCAATGGGCACTTCTGCTTTTTCATCAGGGTTTATTATTGTGACTGGGATCTGTGGAGAGGAAAACAAAACAAAACAAATGGATAACAGTTAGTATAAAATTATAGCCATGCCTTTTCAAAAGGCATTTTTGTAGTAGTGAAGTTGTGCAATGATAAAATTAGGAATAGCTGAAATCCATCCTGTGTACTTTGAAATCTACCTAGGTACTTCAAATTTAAAAGCATTCTATTTTTCTTTATTCAGTTGAAAAAAATTCTTCTAAATTCTGTGCAAATTTTGACAATACACTTGTACAAAACATAACTGATGCTTCCCAAAAACTTGGGTAGAATCTAAACATGGATGATTCTGCAAAGATTCTTCATTACATGGCCTTGGTATAATCTCACCATGTGAAAACAGTGGATGTGTCTCTTAATGAGACATGCCACATCATCAGAAGATGTCTACGCCCAACACCACTGGAGAAATTATACTGCTTAGCAGGTATTGCACCACCTTGTAATCTGTCGGGAAATAGCAGCCAATAATGAAAGGACTGAGGCAGTGACATCTCCAACCCATCCCTTGTTCAGATATCAGCCAGCATGCCAGTGCCTTAAATCAAGAAACAGCTTCCTAAGATCTACAGGGATACTCGCAGGAACACATCAGTATGCGAGAGTCCAAAAGTAGCAGACTTAAACTCGGAACCTCAGTCAGTGGCTGATACCATATGAGAGACTCCCCCCTGGGCACACACAAGACTGGGCAACTTGGAACAGACTGTGCACTAGTACCACGAGATGCAGAGCTACCCTTAAGAAATGGGGTTACAAAGTGGAGTCAGTGACATATGAGTGTGGAGAAGAACAAACTACAGACCACTTACTACAATGCAGTCTGAGCCCTGCCACATGCACAATGGAGAACCTTCTTACAGCGACACCAGAGGCACTCAAAGTAGCCAGCTTCTGGTCAAAGGAAATTTGGCATAATGCTAAGATTTTAATTTTGTTTATGGTTTTCTAATACATTATGGCTGTATTCACAATTTGCTTCTTACACAATAAATAAATGAAACACGGCTTTGGTTTCAGAAATCCCAGGTTGGATTTTATTTGTGAAAGTAAAGTGGGAAATGGACAAATGAATAGAGGATTTGCTATATTTCTAGTTTGTTTCCTAGACATTGATGTAAATCCTGTATTGAACTTAAAGAACAATTGTATTTTTATGGAGTCAGTCTGATGACAAATACAGGTGCTTCCATTGGCTTCTAAAAGCATTTAGAGTTTTCAAAATCTATAGACATATAAAAACCTGGGAGAACTTTTTCTTTCACACGAAAAGCCTGTAAAGAGCTACAGTTAAGTGCAGTTTAAAAGTCTGGCACAATTTAGTATCACGACACCTTGTCAGAATCTGAATATTTAAATCTTTATTGCTGGAAATCTTCTATTATAATTATATAAATTTGGGTGTGGATATACACATAGATTTCACTTTGACTATCTTCCAAAATTGTTGTAATCATTTTCAGCACTACTCTCCTCAAATGACAGATTGAAGGAAAACCTTTTATTTTAAGTAAAAGGATTTTTAAGAATTTCCTTTACTTGATGAACAAATAAACAAGATCACATGATTTTTGTGTATTTTAAAAATATTCATACTTAATTTGCCCAGAGACCTTGTTTGGTGACCAAAATAACCCATGGCATAAAAAATGTGTTTTGTACTGAACAACAGTTTGTTTTACTTAAGATTTGTTTTTTCTGTCCAAAATTCTTTCAAAATCCTACCCTGGTTAATCATTTTCTCAACTGGTACAACCAAGACTCAAGGACACAAGGCTCCACACAGTGTCTGAGTGAAGAAGGGTCCCAATATGGGATGGGCCTTGATTCTCCCAACAGCATTTTTCTCATAAGGAGAGATCTCCACAACAGCTGGCTATGGAAAGGATGTTTCAGCTGCAATCATTGACAGTTTGCTTTTTAAGCACTGCCACCAGGAAGCTGGTGCCTTTGGCTTATTGTACAGATCAATCAAACTTGCACCAAACAAAGCAGATGGTGGGGGACAGAAAAGTGTGTGTGGTGATTGATTATGACCCTGGAGACCAAATCCCTGCTTGCCCATGGAAACCCATTGGGTGATCTTGGGATAGTCACACTCTCTCAGTCTCAGAGGAAGCCAAGACAACCCTCTTTTGAACTAATCATGCCAAGAACCCCTTAGGATAGGTTTGTCTTAATGTTACCATAAGTTGAAAATAACTTGAAGGCATACAACAATAGTAAGAGGAAGACAAGGAGTCTTTTCTGTGATTTACTACACTATCCCAAGATCACCCAATGGGTTTCCATGGGCAAGCAGGGATTTGGTCTCCAGGGTCATAGTCAATCACTACACACTCTTTTCTGTCCCCCACCATCTACTTTGTTTGATGCAAGTTTGTTTGTCTGCATGGAGCCTTCTGGAGCCCATCAAATGCTGCAGGGCTACTTCCAGCAAGGCTCTGTTTGGCTCCATGCCAGCAGCACTGAGAAGCAGAGCCCAGAGGAGTCGGGTGTACACCCAACCAATCATAGAAGAAGCCAGGGAGGATGCGGAAGGAAGTCGGAGACAGCAGAGAAACGTCATAGGAAGGGATCCCACAACCAATGACAATAAGGGCATGAAGCTGTATGCTGCTCCATGGTTTCCCCCACTGTCCCCTGGCTTCTGGACCTCAATGTGATGAGGTCCTTAATCCTAATGCCCTTAATATTTCAATTTAAGACAGATCAACCTCGACTAATAGTACTTGTAAAAAAAGTTATATCCACCAGAGGGCACAAGCTCACACTGTATTATGAAACTGAAGCACTTCTAATCTTAAAACACATTCAGTAGGAAGGTAAACTTTATGGATTTCTGAGATTTACTTCAAAAACATGCCAAAGATTGATTTTACATCCTAGGGTAGCTGTATCCTATTATGCTTCTTTAATTTTGGAGAAGCTTCGATGACCAAAAGAGGAGGGATTTGCTTTGGTTGTCCCTCTCCCTTGTTGCCCAGTGGACTTTCCTATTCTATCTTTTCCCATATTGGTTGAACCCTTTGCTACAGCATGGGAGGTGGTAAAGAGAGATGCCGCCTTCCTCTTTCCACTCCAGTAGAAACCTCAACTGAAGCAAACAATGGAAAAACTATGTGGAAAAGTTATTCTCTATACTACTGTTCTCATAATTCGATAGCTAGCAGGCTTGGGGATGCTAGAAACAACAGTATAAGAACAACCTTTCTATTTATTTAGAAAAAGGATACAGTCATAAAAAAATCTGGCAGTAGGATACTGCATTCAGTCCATGATTTCTTATTTATAAATTAGAATATAACCCCATATCAGTGGGGAATAGGTTCCTAGACATCACTTGGATACATGAAACCATGGATAATACCAAATGATTATTTTTGATGAAATGAATGACAGAAATACAGAGTAGAGGGTATAGCGTGTATAGGAGGTGCTAAGTGGATAATTGAAAACATAAATAAATGTAACCACATATAGTGGTTCCACAGATATGTGAGTAATAATAATAATAATAATAATAATAATAATAATAATAATTCTTTATTTGTACCCCGCTACCATCTCCCCAAGGGACTCGGTGCAGCTTACATGAGGGCGAGCCCACAATACATCAATACAAGCAATAACAACAACAATAAAACAATTAAAAACTCATAAACAGAAAAGCAATAAAATGACAGTAATACAACACACATTTAAAATCTATGGCTGGGACAAATGTAATTAAAATTAAAAAAATTGTACTGTATATTGCTGTTGTCTACCTTCAAGTCATTTCCGTATCATGGTGATTTCTGAAGCCAAGGATGCATCTGCACTGAAGTTTTACACTATTTTAATTGCTAAGTCTCAATGTTATGAACCATGGGAGTTGTAGTTTGGTGAGGGACCCACACCATATGGCAGAGAAGGCTAAACACATTACAAAAGTCCCACGATTCCACAGCATTGAGCCATGACAGTTAAATGATGTCAACCTAGATTAATTCTGCAGTGTAGATACACCTAAGAATGTGTGACTTGTCCAAATTCACTGAGTGGGTTCCATGCCAAAGCAGGGATTTGAACTCTGTTCTGCCGAGTTGTAGTCCAGTGCCCAAACCAATACAATTCATCTCCCATTTTAAACCAAGTAGATGGAGTATAGGCTCATCTTGGTATGCACAGTTCGCAAAGACAGTTCACAGAAAAGAGCTTTCCTGGCAGATCTGGGGGAGTGGGGAAACATTCCCATAAGTGTACTGATTTATACAACCTGGTCCGCAAATATATTCCATTTTTTAAGGGTTCAGTGTCTTTCAGGAGTAAGGACCAAACTCACAGCTCTTGTTTCCCATTGCAGCTGGAGCGAGAGTCATCCAAAATGCTACTGCTACTCTACTTTCCTACAAGTATGAAATCTATATTTTATTACACTTTTGTTCAGAATCAAACAGCAGTCCATTTTCTTATAAATGTTTAAACAAGAGCTTTATGCATAGTTTAGGGCTTCTTACTAGTTACACGGTAGCACTTGTCAAATAAGTGCATTATAACATTTGACAATTAAATCTAATTTTTCAGTCATCTTAAAACTCACAAGACAATTTATACATGTCAGTAACAGTTATACAATGTTTAAATAATGAGGTAACAGTTTTGTGGTAAATCATATGTTTTTACTAGGCCTGGGCGGTTTCGTTCGTTAATTTTGTAATTCGTTAAATATTCGTTATTTTTAACAATTACAAAACGATTACAAAACATATTTTCAAACCCGGAAGTGTTTTTAAATATCGAAACGGCATCCTCCATCTTTTTTACGGCTTCCGCCCGTTTCGGAAATCACGTTTAGGGATGGAGGATGCTGGGTGCCCTGGGAGCCAATCCAGCACTCCCAAGCACCCAAGCAGTGCACCGTGGCTGATTGTGATTGGGCGGGCTGCCCTTTAAAAGCGGCTCCGCGTGGCCGCATTGCTCATTGCGAAGGAGACGGGAGGTGCGGGAGGGAGGCTTGATGGTTGGCTCTTGGCTGCTTGCTTGCATTCATTCATTCATTCATTGCTGGGAGCAGCGGGGAGGCTTTGCCCTGTTTTCGCCCCACAACAGGGTAGGGCAAGCATTTTGTTAATTTTCCATTTTTAAATATTTCTGAAAAATATCTTTCTTTTATTCTTAAAAAAATTCAAAAAATATTCTAAAAAAAGAAAAGACCCTTGTGTGCCTGTGTGTGTGAGTTTGTCCCTGTCCTGTGGCTGTGTTCGCTCCACAACAGGGCAAGCATTGTTAATTTTCCATTTTTAAATATTTCTGAAAATATTTATAAATAAATATTTCAAAAAAATTCAAAAAATATCCTAAAAACGAAATTAACAAAATTAACGAAATTTCGTAAATACTGAACTTTTTCAAAGGAAAGTTTTGTAATTATTTTAAATATCGAAATGCAAAAACCCCCCAAATACAAATCGATTTTAGAAACAAATTTTTGCGTTGTTACCCAGGCCTAGTTTTTACATTAGCATTTTAAAAATCAAAAGACTGAAAAATATAAAATGGTTACACTCACTGATAAAGTGTTTTCGCCAGTCACAAACAGATCTGAATTATGAGCGTCAATTTCTGCAAATACAGTTAGCTGTATCTTCTGGAAGTTTGACTGCAACAGAAAAATATAACGTATTAAAATTGAAAACTACATGATTTTCAACTAACAGTGCCCCCTTCTGATCCATGGGATCCTGATCTGCAATTTCCAGCAATCATAGATTGTCACACCTAATATTAATAAGTGGCCAGTGATAGGAAATGGCCACCACCATTTAATAACATAGGGAATGGTCGTCCATGTTGTTTTGCATCTGCAGAGCCCCCCTAAACCAAACCCCTGTGGATACTGTACATACATTTTTTTTCAGAATTGCTGACTTCCCAATAGTTTGCTTAATAATATTTCAGATATTTTATAAAGAGTCCTTTAAACTACTTATTCCATCTTTGGCTAATATTCAAACTAGGAATGAAGTTTACCCAGTTTACAGTTTCTAGTTTAGTAAACAAATTACATTATTTGGATTCGGGTGGGGAAGTGTGGCCCTCTATATATTGTCAGGCTGCAAATCTTAGCATTCCCCACTGCTGGCTATGCTGGGTAGGACTGATGGGATTTACATTGTCAGGGAAACCGTATAATTTAGATAATTATTTTATTCTTTATGCCCAGTCTTCTGAAATGGCCTCAAATCTACACATAGTTATATGGGCTTGTTTAGCCTCATAAATGTATAACAGTACGAAATATCTAAGAGATGGCAACTTATTAAAACACAGATACTACTTACAGCTGCAAATGTCCCATTCCAGATTCTGGCAGAAACATTAACATAATATTCAGCCTTCAGCGTGATATCTTTTAATTTGCATGTAATTGTGTCACATCTGACATTCTTGCAGTTCTTTAAAATAAAGGCAAATATAGCGTTATGGTTAAATATTATTACTATCAAATGTGGCAGAAAAGCAATTCATATCTTTCATACATTTTTGGCATTTCACTGAAGTTTTTTTTTTTACAGTTCTACATATATCTGCATCCTCACAGAAGCCTCCTCACCCCCAGATTTGAAAGTATACAGGCTTGTCCATCTTTCTGCTCAAATTCAATTTGAGCATCATGTAAAAATAATCATTATGATATTTTGGATTAGCTCATGTATTAAATTTTGTCTGAGCCTTGCCATGTGTCCCAGCTCAAGTAGAAAGATAAGGACTTCTGTATAGCAGAGTCCAGAGGAAGAACTCTATTTTCAAGGAGTTTAGTATAGCTCCTTTTTTACTAGTCTTCTATAACAAAAACTTGTATTGCCACACCAGATTTTTAGTGATTGATCCCATGCTTTTAGTGTATGTATGTATGTATGTATGTATGTATGTATGTATGTATTGAGCCGTGGTGGCTCAATGGGTTATACCCTTGTGCTGGTGAACTGCTGACCTGAAGGTTGACTGAACTGCTGGCCTGAAGGTTGGCAGTTCAAATCAGCGAGATGGGGTGAGCTCCTGTCTGTCGGCCCCAGTTCCTGTCAGCTTAGCAGTTAGAAAACATGCAAATATGAGTAGATAAATAGGTACCGCTTCAGTGGGAAAAGGCAAAGAGATGCTCCAAGCAATCCTTCCAGCCACATAATCAGGAGGTGACAAGGCAGGCTCCTCAGCTTGAAAATTAAGAAAGCACCTTCCCAGAGCCGGAGACGAGCACCACCTCCAGAAGCTGGAAATGAATGAAGCCTTGGCCTTTGTTTGTGTGTGTCATTGTATATGATTGTAAAGGCATTGGATGTTTGCCTATGGATGTAAATGTCCTCTCCCCTAGGGGAGAAGGGCAGAATATAAATAAAGTGTATTATTATTATTATTATTATTATTATTATTATTATTATCCATTGCCTTTATTGAGGCTGACTGTGTGTGACTTCCATAAGTCACTGTAGTAATATTAAAGATATCTAGGGCAGGGGGGACAACGAACAATCCCACCGCTGCCACCAGTGTAGTAATATTAGCGACTGACCATATGTTAAATAGATCAATGACCGATGTTTTGATAGGTATGACTGCCACCACCTCAGCTTTTATTGGCCTGAGGAACCAAAAGGTGTGAATGTGTTGTAGGTAAGGTGTGTTTGCCCTTGATTCTACTATTGCTTCTTCACTGGCTGACTGGACTTTAAAAGGGTTTGACAGACTGGGTTCTGAGGAAATTTGACAGATTGAGGCATATACCAGTTAAAAGTAAACTAGGAAAGGTTTATTGAACTTTAAACAAATATCAACTCATAGAATGAGCGGTACAGAAGCGTAATTCAGTTGTAGAGACTTAGTTATTTATACAAGTAGTTCCACTGACAATAAAGCTTTTAAAACTGTGAGTTTCCTTAAACACACTGCTCTATCCTTAGAAACAGTATCGCTTGAGAACAGATCCCTATCTGTCTCACACACAGGGTGATAAGCTCCCTTATACTATCCCTAAGTATAAGGAGACAAGTCTTTCTGTTACTGATCCTCACAATACAGTAACCCTAGCCCTTGTCTGCTGCTTATTCCCTAACCTTAAGGCTCACTGTAAAGCTTTCTTTTCCTGTCAGATTCCTACTGTAGCTTCCTAACTTAAAATCTCATCCTTCTGTGTCTCATGTCAAGACACTTCTCCCTCTCTGTCAAAAGCTGACAGCTTATTTCCCTCTCTCAACCGACTCCTCCCCCAATTGCTATACCCAATCAGGAGTCGGCTTGACTCCTCCTCCTGCTGCTGCCTGTCTTCCAAGATGACAGCTACTGATATTCAGGCTTCGGCCTGTTCGCCTAAAAGGTAGATTTCACTACAGTCACCCAAAGAGTTTTCATGGCTGAGTGGAGTTCTCTGGTACTTGTATGTAGCATACTCAATAAGGAAAACTGATATTGTATTTCAATGAACAAACCTACACCAATCCCATTATTTACCTTTATTTAATCTGTTAAATTTAATCTGTTAAATGAGAGGGAAATTATGGGATTGGTGTTGGTTTGTTCATTGAAATACAGTATCAGTTTTCCTTATTGAGTATGCTAGTATGCTACATTGCAAAATCATTACAAGCCACCTTGTCTCTCTCCTGAGGAATCTGTACAAGGACCAAGTAGCAACAGTAAGAACTGACCACGGAACAACAGACTGGTTCAAGATTGGGAAAGGTGTACGGCAAGGCTGCATACTCTCACCCAACCTTTTTAACTTGTATGCAGAACACAGTCATGCGATGTGCGGGGCTGGATGAATGCAAAGCTGGGGTGAAAATTGCTGGAAGAAACATTAACAACCTCAGATATGCAGATGACACCACTCTGATGGCCGAAAGCGAGGAGGAGCTGAGGAGCCTTCTAATCAAGGTGAAAGAAGAAAGCGCAAAAGCCAGGTTGCAGCTAAACGTAAAAAAACCCAAGATAATGGCAACAAGAATGATTGACAACTGGAAAATAGAGGGAGAAAATGTGGAGGCCGTGACAGACTTTGTATTTCTAGGCGCAAAGATTACTGCAGATGCAGACTGTGGCCAGGAAATCAGAAGACGCTTACTTCTTGGGAGGAGAGCAATGTCCAGTCTCAATAAAATAGTAAAGAGTAGAGACATCAGACTGGCAACAAAGATCCGCCTAGTCAAAGCCATGGTATTCCCTGTAGTTACCTACGGATGTGAGAGCTGGACCTTAGGGAAGGCTGAGCGAAGGAAGATAGATGCTTTTGAACTTTGTGTTGGAGGAAAGTTCTGAGAGTGCCTTGGACTGCGAGAAGATCCAACCAGTCCATCCTCCAGGAAATAAAGCCCGACTGCTCACTGGAGGGAAGGATACTAGAGACAAAGTTGAAGTACTTTGGCCACATTATGAGGAGACAGCAAAGCCTAGAGAAGACAATTATGCTGGGGAAAGTGGAAGGCAAAAGGAAGAGGGGCCGACCAAGGGCAAGATGGATGGATGGCATCCTTGAAGTGACTGGACTGACCTTGAAGGAGCTGGGGGTGGTGACGGCCGACAGGGAGCTCTGGCGTGGGCTGGTCCATGAGGTCACGAAGAGTCGGAGACGACTAAACGAATAAACGAATGAACAGTATGCTACATCCACATGGCAGAGGACTCTGGAGATTAGAGTTCAAATTTCCACTCAGCCATGGAAATTCTTCGGTTGACTTCTGGAAGCCACACACCATTGGCCTCTAATAAAGGCAATTGTAAACATGATCTGAGGAGAAATGTCAAGAAAATGAATGGGATCAATCACTAATGGGATCAATCACTAAAAGTCTGGTGTGGTATCTCTAAGGCATAAAAGAGATAAGTCAACAGAGACCACATGTTTCACTCACCAAATACCACAGAGAAAAAAACCCCCACAAACGATTCAGGATCCCAATCATTTTTATAGTATCCACAACTGTAGAAGAGAGATCCCACCTCCCTATGCTTGGAATGATGGAGATCTTTCAACATTTATCAATAGCAATAAAGGAACCAAGACTTCAGATTTTGCAATCATAAAACCAACTTACCAATTCTTTCATCGTTTTGAAGTTTTCCTTTTTGAATGACACAGCATAACTTTGTTGTCCTATATTATATGGATTTATCTGTGCTTCACAACTGAAGTCAACATCCTGGAAAGAACATATAAAGTCATGCATGGAACAGAGGAAGCAGAGGGCTTACATAGGTTGCCACACCATAATTATTGGCCTGTCCATTATGGTTTTGTATCCATGCTGTCTTTGCTATCAAGTTGCAAATCTCAATTAAAATACACCATGGCTCTACCTGACTGGTATGTACTGCAGTCACATACATCAAGGGATTGTCACCTTCAGTCTCTTTTGGAATATGGATTTTTAAAGATGCCATGTCAATTGGGATACTTCCTCTTGTGACCTGAAAAGAAAACAATTATGTGGATAAATACTGGAGAAAGAATGGCAGCATATGAAGGCCTACATAATACGACCCCAGCACATGCAGGATCACTACCCCCCCCCCCTTCATCTGCCCACTTCTGACAAAATATGTCTTCTCTAGACATTTTCTAAGTCCTTCAGGTTATCTATGGTTTATCACGGCTGGAAGTTAACACAAAGTCACTTTGGAGGTCCTAGAAAACTCTGAGGTAAATACATCTTTAGTGTTTTTCAAGGTCTTCCAAGGCAAATCTAGGTCCCCCAGGGAAATTTCCAGTAGAAGTCATTCATTTCAATAGTGTTTGCTATTATCAGTGGTTTCCTGTTAATATAATAAGTTCAGTAACATATACCCCACAAATATAGGGGTTGCATTGTGATGTTGTTGCTCTCTATTAGCACTGGGCAGTAAAAATTGTGTGTATATTAAGTCACAGCTAAAAAATGTGTTAATGAATGGAATTTAGGATTGTTTCAAATCTATGCAAGTACAAGCATGGCACAGAAGATAATACAAATTCTGTTACAGCCTATATTATTAACTGTTGCAACATTCATTTCAAACTAAGCAAGGATCGTGTCCTTAGCATTTATATGATATTCTAGGCTTGGGAATCAAAGAAAGAACTGGGGAAAGCTCCCACAATTCAGGACTTTGAGCATAATGAACAGGTACATAGCCATGTAGAATAATGCTATATATTGTTTCTCTAGACAAATAAATGGTAGCTACTTATAATTGATATATTAAAAAATAAAATTAATGTAAGCTGGAGTTGTACTAACATGACTGGAATTTTCATCTGTTATCAGTGTGTCTAGAGATGCCATTCTGTTCAGTATTGGAAGAACTCAGTTTATATTTCAGGAAGAACCACCACATTTTATTATTTATTTATCTACGGTATTTGTAGCCTGCCTTTCTCAGTCCTAAGGCAACTCAAGGCACATTTTATATGTGGCAGCATAAAAACTAACAGGTTTATTATAGTTTCCATGGATTGTACTGTGGAAATTAGTTAGACTTTATATCACAGATTTTGCAGCATCACATTGATATGTAATTTTTTGTTTCCAAATAGTCCACAGAGGTTATACATTGGTATGGCAGTCTAACTGGGCTATAATATGTACAGAGCAAAAAAAAGCCATCTAGGAAAACAAGGCTGTTCTGACCTACAAATATGCTTCTTCATTGTCCCATGTGCTGCTACATCCATGGCCCAATTATCGGGAGAAGTATGGGAGCTTGTATACATTGCATATATCCAATAAATTTTGTCCCACTCTGGCAGTGTGAGTCCAATATGTTTTAGTAAGAAAGATACAACATGATAGTTCTTATATATGTTTACTGACCTTAATAGAAAAATTGAATGCAGGTCCAATTTCATCAAAATTGTTCACCACAGAAGGAACATTATAATCAGAATATACTTCATAGAAATTCATACTAGTAAACCTGAGTAAAAACAGATTATATTATGAACATTTTTTCCAAAGTATGTGGGGTTTTTTTCTCTATTGAATTAAGTAGAGTGAAGTAAGTATTACATTTTGGAAAAGGGCTCCCCTCCTCTCTCCCCCCCCCCCCATATAAAACAGTAACGTTGCAATGCACGTATATTGTATTTGCTTATTAATGCTAAAGCTCTGATAAGAGCTCAGTGCATATACCAAAATAAATACGGTATTTCAGAGTTTCTGGACATTCAGAAAAAACAACCAGGTTTTTCAACATTTCTATGATACTATGAGACACTGATTGCACACAAAAATAAGCAAATTTCAAGTATCTAGAGTGATATTAGCAAGATACAAATGTTTACATGTGCTTACTTGTCAATATAAGCTACACATTCTAAAATCAATATAAACCTTGGAGTAATAGCACAGATATGTGAATTATTTCTGAGATTTCCGCTTCACTTGCTAGTCATACTTTTGTTTATGTTTATTTACATGCCTTCAACTTAACTATAAAAATAAGATGATCTCACAAATTCCATAAGGTTTTTGAAAGCAAGGAATACTCAGGGGAGTTTTTCCCCCAGTTTCTTTCTCTGAAATATATTCTAAAGTATCTGGTATGCAGATAGTGTCCCATCCAAGCACAAAGCAGGTCTGACCCTACTTGGCTTCCATGATCAGATGCACCTGGTACCCTTAGGAGTATTTAGGTCTTGTGAAACATGTGAAACATGTTACTACTTTTGCCAATCTCAAATTTGGTGAGTTATCTTAAATACCAAGAAACTTGCCATAGGCTGTGCTGGTTCATTTAGAATTACCTTGTCAAGTGGAGTTCTGCATCATACCGAAGAGGGATTGTCAGGTTGACTTGGTTGTTTGTATCATCTTCTTCATTACTTGCACTAAAATGCATATTTTAAATGTTTTTTTAATGAAACAGCCACATTTATAAACATAACTGGATACTATTCAGTTGTCAGGAGCAGTTTTGTCAGGGGCTATCTTTGGGATTATGACAACATACAAAGAACTTGAATCCAAAGAAGATGGAAGTGTGGTGAGCTGGAACATCTGTTACATGAGATGTCCTACCAGATCTGTTGAACACTGCAATAAAGGAGTAGGAATGTAGCCACTGAGGGTTCCCATGTACCATAGAATTGCAGGTGTCAGCAACAGACAGCAATACATTTTACCTGCTCTACGTGGTTTGCAGCTAAGACCTTATCTAGAGAAAATAAAGCATGCTTCATATACTTTTTGGTTATACTACTCCAGGCTAGATGACTGTAACACTCTACAGGTAGAGCTTCTTTTATGTATTTGTTATTTATTTATTTATTTATTCATTCATTCATTCAGTTTATAACCTGTTCTTTTCCTGTCATAGAATCCAGGGTAGCTTATAATAATTTAAAATAAAAAATAGCTAAAACATCATAGTACTGAAGTTAAAAAAATTAAATTACAGTTTTGATTAGTGAACATAGTTAAAAATTATGTGTAGGTATTGAACAAAAAAATAAACAAACTGTCGCTATTAACTGCAAGGTTGAGATGATATATGAAATATCACATGTCACCTCTCAACTTACCACAGCCCCATTAATTTCAAAGGGTCTTTCTATGCAAGGAATACACAAAGGTGGTTTTGTCAGCTCTTTCCCCTGAAATGTAGCCCACAGCCTGTTATTCATTGGCAGTCTCCCATCTAAGTAACAACCAGAGCTGATCACGTTTAGCTTCAAAGATCAAATGGCGCTTGCTGCCATTACAGTATTTAGTCCAAATAAAATATTCCACTGTACCTCAAAGCTTGAAAACCTAATACTGCCAGATTCTGAAGACTTTTCAAATTAAAGTCAAAACTAATGTCAAACGACACCTATGAAAAACAAAGGCAGATGTTAAAATTAAAACAAGCAAAGCAATTATCAGCAATTGTCCAATTTCAGGAAGTTGGCTTCATTATTTTATGATGTTATCTTTATGCTGGAATAATTGTTTTTCCAAAGCAAATTCTAGATTTCCCTTAAGGCCTTTTGGGCAAGCAAATCCTTATCTGGATGCACCACCACAGTGCCACCTGTTTCTTCCATGCCCTTTCCTTACTTACTGCTAGGTCCAAGTATACCCTCTTACCACCAATTTATCAATGTCCCATATATTTCCTGTAGATGGCAGAAGTGCGAGGAAAAGATCCCCCCTCAAAGCCTACAACACCTGCTGTTTTGGTACCAGATATTTAAGATGACATGACTCTTCACTTGCTTGTCTATTTTGCTTGCCCTCTATAATACAGACTGTTATTTTAAAGGTTGAATTCAAGTCATTAGCTTGTCGCTCCTCTTTCACTGGAGCAATGGAGTAGGCACAACAACCCTAATTAAAATTGGAATTGTAAGACATACCTGCTGTGCTTCCTTGAAAACAGGATAGCTGATCTGGCACACAACAAATTGCTGGATTGTGCTCATCTGACATGAAACATCAGTTCCATCAACCTGTAAGGTTGAAGGCAAATATTGATTCATATAATTACAGTACAATACCAAAAATAAAAGACAGCATGGTATAGTGGTTTGAGCATTGGGTTACAACTCTGAAAATCAGGATTCAAATCCCCATTGAGCCATGGAAACCACTGGGAGACTTTGTCATTCTCAGAGGATGACAAAGGAAACCCCCAAAATACTATGGCACAAAACTGAAGACATTCTTACATAGGTGAGCTCCTAATCGAGAATATGCAAGTAGGTTGGCAGAGCCATCCTTGCTCTGTTCGCTCATGGTAGCCATTCTAGCCTCCTGAAAATATCATTTAAGAGTATTAGGCAATCCTGTCAAATGGAGTGAGATGTAGTGAAACTGGAAAAGAAAAAATCTCCCAAAATCAGCTAGGGCTGTTGCATTTATGGTAGGGAGATCCTGGATCCAACCTTATGCTTTTAAAATCCATGGCACATTAATGGCTGAAGGATGCTCATTTATATATGACTTGGTATTTGTTTATTTATTTATTATTATTTTTGTGGTATTTGTATACCGCCCTTCTCAACCCCAAGGGGACTCAGGGTGGTTCACAGTGTTGGCAACAATTCAATGCCATTAATAAAAAACAGTATAAAAGATCAAAATTGATCCCCCCAAAACATTAAACGTTATTAAACACATCACATAAAATATAGTGTAAACTGGAAATGTTCCCCATCAGTGGAACAAAGCTGTTCCTTAGTGACAAGAATGGGTCATTAATATTTCAGTAAGTTTGCATGTCCTGCATATTTACATATTATGTGCATTTGTTTAATTAATACTTGCTGCAAAATCGTTTGTCATAGAAAACCAACAAGAAAGAGTTTAGTAGTACCTTAAATACCAGTAATTGCCACAAAGTGGTTTGAGCACTGGACAATGATTCTGCAGACCAGCATTTGAACACCTGCTTGATTGTGGAAACTTTTAGTGACCTTGGGCAAGTCACACTCTGTAAGTCTAAGTCATATCCCCTCTGAACAAATCTCACATTGTGATAGATTTGCCTTAGTGTCACCATAAGTTAGAAAAGCACACATCAACACAACTGCAAAGTACCAGAGAGACTCTGGAATATGACCACCCCTGATCTAGAAATTGGTGTGCCATTCTGGGGAAAGGAGAAAAACTCCACAAATCAGACAATCAATTCCTTCCAGGTGCTCAGTGACATCCTTCCATCTTGCAGACTGAATTAGTGGAGTTAGACTACAATTCCAAGTACACCTTCTAGGGCACAAAATCAAATAACATCGAATGCATTGATATTTAGCATGTGAGTCAACACAGTTAGCTTGCACTTTCTGGAACAAACAGCTTTGATATTTTAGGAAACATCCCCACAATGGGGAAAATAATGGTGTAGGATTCTCACTGATTTAGTTGGACTGGGAACATATCTGAAAGAAAACATCCTTCTAAAAATAACTGGTATTCTTAATATAAAAGTAGCAATGAGAGATATAGATATTACACCTACAGGTGAAGAAGACGAAGCAAAAAACAAGTTCCCGGAAAAGACAATTTGAATTCTGGTGTTGTATGCATTTTCTTTTTTATTTCTTAGTTTCACACCGAATATCAACCTTTTGTTCTTACTGCTGATAATAACAGGTTGTTTGCTGGTTTCAGGAAGGAAAAACAGAAAAGAATAGAAACATATCGTTAATGTGGTACATAGGTGAATTCCAGTGTACTTCAGTGAAGAGGTATGCACTAAGAACAACCCATCTGAACACCATTCAGCATGCAGTTAAGCGTACTTGAATCTCATTCAAATCAGCAGGGTTGAATAACACTTTGCTTTCAGCAAGAGGGCAGCATGGATAACATTTATTTCAAAATTCAGCATGCATTCCAGTTCATTCTTATATACACATTTTCAAAGGAGTACACATTCGGGAATAGTAGTTTCAGGTTTTTGTTATACAGACTTTTATTTCATTAGTATTTCACAATATTGTTCCAATGCATAAATACAATTTAAACTTAAAGGTTAAAGTAAAGTGTTAAAGTGTTATGCAATTATTCCTGAGTTATATACATTTGGCACATATTTTCTTTTATATAATCATCTTTTACAGGAGGACTGAATGGTACAAAAACACACCTCTTACCCATTATCTGTTTTCTGTTGAACATCAAGAACAAGGTCAGCAATGCAAACTTCATCTCCACCACAATCTTTAACAAATGGTATCTGCAAAACCAAAAACAAAATCCACCTTCTTTGTTCAAAATAATTTATCTATATAATTCTTACTGTAATTACTTATTATAATTGCCTCTTAGGAGAATGACTTTGTTTGCTTACATCCAACTCTGTAACAAGTGGTCTCAGGGTGGGGCACAATCTATAAAGAGGGTTTTATAAGCATTTAAAACAATTTTGTCGCTAGTTTAAGAAAGGATAATCTTTCAGGGGAGTTCAGTTGAACTGAACTCGATGGCCCTTGTGGTCTCTTTCAAATAAAAGATTCTATGATGCTACAGATTTAACAGTGGCTTGATGCCATCTTCCAAGTTCAGTCCTATAGAATCCTGGAATTTGAAGTTTGATGATGGACTTTGAGTGCTTTACTACAAAGAAGCTCTGGATCAAGGATAGCAGTAGAGTACATAAGCAATACACCATTTTAAGCACCTTTTAAGTATCTTGAAATCACACAGGGTAGCGTAATAGCGGTTAAAGTGTCATCCAATAATTATTAAGTGTAAATATACTCTTAAATGTGTAGAACAGCTGTGTAGCTTTCATTTCAGTGGGAAATCCACTCTTAGTTTTCTTCCAGGCATATCCCAAGGTGACGATCCTATTCTTAAACAAGTTCAGTACCTTGAACAGTTTCTGATAGAGGAGCCAACAGCTGAAACTGTAATGCAATTCAACATAAAGAAAAAATCCCAATTGATCAAATCCAAAGTGCAATTGGCGGCCCAAAATTTGGATGTGCTATAACGTTTTGTGTGCTATCGAAGGCTTTCATGGCTGGAATCACTTGGTTGCTATGAGTTCTCCAACCTGTATGGCCATGTTCCAAAAGCATTTTCTGCTTAAAAGAAAGTCAACTTTTGTCTGAGTTACTAAATTCTACACATATTTGATCTTATCACTGAATTTGGGAAATTATTATTATTATTCAGTACCCTTGTGGCATTATTTCTGCATGTGTACTGTGAGCCAATTTATTGTTGACACTAGAAATGGAATGTTTATAAATATACGTACAGCATAAGTTACAGATGCAGGAGACATCTTATCTAGAACAGGACTTGAACCAGGATTCTTGAGCTTAATATCAACACGTACACTAAGTGAGTCGACTGCATCAGATGGCTCCTATAACCAGAAATACACACATTAACTGCACACATCCACACCTTCTGTGAATGTTTCTAATTATACACACATGCTATAAAGTGTTTTGTCTATCAGTCTCTTACTATTGTGCTACACAAATTCATTTGCTGATTTACAAAGTTGTCCAACTTAATGTATTATCTAATTCAGTGCTGCTCAAAGAGGTAATCCCTACATCAGAGCTGATCTGTGAGCTTTTTGCTCAAGCTCCTTAGAGAGGTTCCATCAAAGAAAGAATCAGTTGTATCCATTGACTTGCTTAAGATGACTCAGGACTCTTCCACACAGCCCTTTATCCTAGAATATCAAAGCAGAAAATCCCACAATATCTGCTTTGAACTGGGTTATCTGAGTCCACACTGCCATATATTCCAGTTCAAAGCAGATAATGTGGGATTTTTTTTCAGCTGTGTCGAAGGGGCCTCTGTGGGTTTCTATGGCCAAGTGGGAATTCAAACTCTGATCCAATGCTCAACCTGCTATCTATGCTGGTCTCCTTTGTTAGAAGCATTGATCTGATGGGACTGAAAAACTTTGGAACAAAGCTATTAAAATGTACAATTCAAATGTCAAAAAGCAGTTTACAAAGTTTACAAAATCATTACAATTAAAACATGGACTAATTTAGAAGCCTTTTCTTTTTTTTAAAAAAAAGTTCAGTTCTCAAAAATATTTGCCTACTGATGATAGCAAGGAATAGAGGGTCAATCTAGCCTTCCTAAACTTTTACTACTTTACTTGTAGTTTATGAGAACCAAGCCTCGGGCATATATGTCTGTTTACATAGTATACGGAACCACTGGCAAATGTTTACCTGGACATTAAAAATGTGCTCCACACAGTTCTCCTTGAGGCGGACTATGATATGATCCTGCAGGTATCTCTCATTGTTTTCTTTAAATAAGCCTCTAGAAGTTACACGAGAGGACAAGAGATCAGCATCCAATGTCAGGTTGTATTTGATATCTAAAGGGGAAACATGTTAGCTTTTTAAACAGTTGAACCTTTATAAGCCTGAGAAAGCTATATGTGAACATGTTCTACTACAAATCTAATGGACAGTCTAGGCATGTCATTATGTTAATGTAGGAGTGGGGAAACTGTGGCCTCTTTGCAAGTCCCAACAAGAACACTAATGGTGCCCCGTTTCCCCCCAAATTTATTTGAGGCAAAATTGGATTGCTGGCAATCTTGTTGGCTAGTAGGAATAGTAGGTGATTTAATTTAAACTTTCTATCATAGAAATAAAACTAAAAGTGGCTACAAATTGCTTTCTGTTTTGAGGAAATTACTTCCAGAGATGCAGCAGGGTGCTATGGGCAGTGAGCAGTGAAATTTGTTTCTCACTACAGTTGCAAATGCTTGTGTTACACAGCCATAGCTCTATGAAAGCTAAGTTAAGTGTAAACTCACACAAATATAATAGGTCTTAAAGAAATATTATTTAAACAAATGTGTAGAAAATGAGCATCATATAATTTATTTGGGCTTTCTCCAGCCCTGAAAATCCTAAAAATAAGAGCAGTATGTTCAATTTTTTAGCAGACTGTATTTATATGGAATGTTTTTCCTCATTAATATAAGGCAAATAAATAAACTCTTATGAGAGCAAGGGTTGTACAGAATAGTACTTTGTATCATCAATATTTTTCTTTAGTAGATTGGTTTTTAAGTTGGGGCTCTAAAAAGAAGGTAAATTCAAGCAAATATTTTCATCATATATGGTCAGATGTTAATAAAGACACTGCTTTATTAACATCTGACCATCTGAGTATCTGTGGGCATTAGGGTTGGATAGGTTCGTTCAGAAGAGCCTGGAAGTTGGAAAAAACTTCCGAATTTTGACTTCCGAAGCAGTTTTGAACCATGCTGGAAAGGTGGTGGTGGTGGTGGTGGGGGGGGGGGGGATCCAAAATTGAACCATTTACCTTTTATTTTTCGGAAATATTATATAATGTTTGGATGTCTCCCAAGGTTATTTTAGTTTTCACAACCATTAAGCAACTTTGGTGAATAAAAGATAAACTGATTGAATCTATAAAGGTGTCTAAAGAAGGCAGCAAAGCAATAGGCAACATTTGCAAAGCCAAGAGACCATAAACTGCTTAAAAAACAATCATTTTACTTTTGCCTGATTGCCATGAACAAGGCACTGGGGTAGCCAGCTACAGCCAGCCACCCCTTTACGTCAGTAGGTAATGATAAAATAAAATGATTGATTGCATCTGCAAATAGGAATAAATGGATGGATGTGTCTTGAGGGTCCCCTCCAACTCAGTGGAGGAAGCAAACTGATGTCAGGAGAGTTTGGATGGTGCCTTTCTGCCCAGAAGAAGGGGGTCAGTCTAGATGTCCCTTGATGGGGTCTGTACTATGATTTCTGTTCTCTACCAATTTAACACACTTTGTGCCAAACAAACAAAGTGTTTGTAGTAGAACAACAACTTTCAAAGTAAAAACCACCCAATGAAGAAGTTATGTAAAATAAAATATTAGAAATGCTTACCCACTTGATTATTCCCATTGGCAGGTCTAAAGGTTGCACTGAAGCATATCTGGAGAATCACCTCTGTATTCTTGTTTAGCAAGCTGATCTTCCTTGGCGTGGATGAGATATGCATAGAAACTTTTGCTATACTCTGAGACCTAAAATAGAGACAAATCAATTTACTCATCACAGAAGGGAGATTAGTTTTGGACTATATAACCAACCTTTTGCCAAAATATTGCAATAAAGGTGCTATAAGATTGTGTACATTGTGCAGTGCTTTCCTATACATATTAAAATATCATACAATAAGAACATAGAACAGGGAGCATAATACAGTTGAGGAACACCTACTGACAGTTTAATAGACACTAAGCGTGACTTTTGAAAGACAGGCTTTTCTTCAAATGTAAAAAAAGACAATTTTTATACTTTTCAAAGGTATAAGGGGTAAATTTATTTTCTGTTTTATGCATGTAAAGTTAGGTAACACTATATTGAGACAGGAGAGAAAGAGTGCTGAAGAATGAAGTGAAGATAAAGATTATTGTCATACAACTGTCTAGCACCATATTTTCTTTGGGTCTTTGAACATCTGTTTCAGCAGGGTTAGTGCAGGCGAAGATTGCTCTAGCACAAAAAGCACCAACCGGCATCCAATTTCATCTTGAGGCCAAGCAGCTTAATTTCTGCTTGTATATATGTATTTCATTTTTTACATACCTACAACTTGTTTGAAATCTGGTGCTGGAGAAGAGCTCTACGGACTGCTAAATACACAAATGAATGGGTCTGAGAGCAATCAAGCATGACTAAACTGTGTATTTTATACTTTGGCCATATTATGAGAAGATAAACTCACTAGAAAACATGAAATTAATTGGTAAGGTAGAAGACAATAGGAAAAGTAGAAGACTGCATTACAGATTGAAAGACTCAATTAAAAAGCTATGGCCCTGAGTGTAAGACCTGAGCAGAGATCTTGAGGATAGGATGAGTTGGAGATGTCTTATTCATAAGATCATCATAATCAATTTGATGGCAACTGACAACAACATCTATTTTAAATTAGATCAAAGAAGTGGTGGAATGGATATCTAAAAAATATTTGTTATTTCTCTAAAAAATCTATTGCTCACCAGAGTTGAATCACATTTCCATCAGAACCCACGGAGACATCAGTAATCCCATCACCATTTAAGTCACTGCGGCCATCTATTGATCTGCCAAAATACCTCAGTTGCTTTCCAAAAGCAGGGTCTGACCCAGAAATTTTCTGGAAAGAGATTATTTAGAGCAGACATATTATTGTCCCCAAACAAACCCATCATGCCAAGAGAATGAGTCACATTTTATAGATCCTATTCTTTGACCTAATGTAACATTCTGAAAAGAATGCCAAGTAAGGGGATTTTGAGCAGTTTCTCCATCTGCAGTTTCTCCTGGAATCTTCTTTTGAAGAGTGGGAATTTAACAGAAAACAAGGATAATGACATGGTAAACTGCAAGATGAGAAAGAGGAACTGTCAAAAATCATGCTAAATTTAACATTAGAAGCCTTTGCATATCAACTACTCGTTTGCATATTTTCTAACTTTAGTTTGTTTCCTTTTCTGCACCTTCTCATTTCCTTTATCACTCTAATTTGCAGCTATTTCCCCCTTCCTTTTCTCTCTTGTCCATTAGATCATGTATACGATTATGCACTACTTATTGTAAGTAAAACTACTTATATATGTTTTAGAAAGACTAAACTTCCCTTTTTTCACTGCTAGATCCTATGGGGTGGGGTGGGTGACGTTGGTTTTTGTTTAGCTTCTGTCTTGCCAATTGATTTAAGAGAGTCACTACCATCTCTTAGATTTCCCAAAAGCTGCAGATATGTAATTGTTTTACCAGACAAACATAACATATTGTTTTATGTTACTTACCTGAGAATATTTAGTCTGTATTGTTCTTTGTTTACCATTGTAGATGTAGATAGCACCAGCATTCTGGTTTTCTAATGGTGCTCCGACTATTACATCATTAAAACCATCCAAATCAAGATCTGAAATAGCAGTGATAGCTGATCCATACCGAGTATTTTCTAACCCATCAGGGCCTTCTAGAATTTCTCGTTTGTCCAAGATCCCCTTTAACAAGAGCAGGAGAGACAAATAAAATAAATAAATACAATTGACCTAAATATACAGGTCTTAACTGAAGTACTTGTTAAATGGGAAGTCAATACTTATATAAATTCAGTTCAGCTGATCTACTCTACTTCATAAGTCTGTTCTATTTAAGACTAGGAACTGGATTGAGGCCACTAGACTAACATTCTTGCATCCGAGAGTAATTCTTTGAAATGGGAATGGAATTTCCTTGTTTCTACAAAGAAGAAAGAAAAAAAATAATCAGCTGTGGAAACACTTACTCCCTTGATTGTTGTTGTGCCAACTATAAAGAAAGTGCTAAAAACACAACAGATACAAGTAATAAAAAGTTTCCATTAAGTATCTTGGAAATTAATGATCAAACAAAATAACTTCCCCGTGTGTTCACGTTGCCAACAATGAGTTCTATCAGCATACCACAGGACAGTATAAGTAAGGGAACTGCATTTGTGAGAGCCAATCCAACCAGATGAGGAAATCATGTGGGCAAATAGGAACTGAATCATCCATTCCAACAGCTGGGTTATGCATGAAAAATCCTTTAAAGATGTTCACACTTAACTAAGTAGACAACTGGAATGGCAGGCAGGGATTTCAATTAGTCTTTTCATCCTCATTCCCTACTAAAACCCAATAAGTAAGATTATAGGTTTTTTGAAAGTATATATACCTGTTTGCTATGGAATGAAATAAAATGACTCATCTGTATTTTTTTATAAAAGAAAAATAATAAAAACACAAGTACCTGACAATGAGAAATTACACTATGACCCCTGCACTCACAGGACTGATTCCCTGATTCTCTGTTAGTTTTCTGGGTCCCTCAGGATTCTTTTGGTATGCTTCCACCAAAAGTTATCATACATCTATTCTGCTTTGGTTAGATATCACCTGGAATACTGTCTCCATTTCTGTGCACCACAGTTCAAAATAGAGATTGATAAGCTGGAAGGTGTCCAGAGAAGGGTGACAAAAATGATCAAAGATCTGGAGACAATGCCCTATGAGGAGCATCCTAAAGATCTAGGTATGTTTAGTCTGCAGAAAAGAACACTGAGAGGAGACATAGTAGCCATGTATAAATATGTGAAAGCATGCCATAAGGAAGAGGGAGCAGGCTTGTTTTCTGCTGCCCTGGAAACCAGGACTCGGAGCAATGGGTTCAAATGACAGCAAAGGGGATTTCACCTGAATATTAGGAAAAACTTCCTGACCATACGAGCTGTTCAACAGTGGAACTCTCTGCCTTGGAGTGTGGTTGGAGCTCCTTCCTTGTAGGCTTTTAAACAGAGGCTGGATGGCCATCTGTTGGGGGTGCTTTGATTGTGCTTTTTCTGCATGGTAGGGGGTTGGACTGGATGGCCCATGTTGTCTCTTCCAACTCTATTATTCTATGATCTATGACTAGAAAATTGTCCAAGTCATATGGAAAAAGTATCACAAAGGTATTATGGAAATTTCCTATTTACAGACCATAAGAATATAGAACTTGATAGTCTTCCAAACGTCGCAAAACACCAAATAAGAGAAGTAATTTCAATGGATATGTTCTAATGGTTTACTATACATAAAATAGCAGAATAAAGAGAAACAGGGAGAGCATAATCCCCTTTCTTCACCGGAAACTTCTCTGTGCCTCCCCAAACCAGTTTGACTTGGTGACTCAAAAAAGCCAGTCTTTAGCATGAATGGAAGACTGAAATGGGAAGGTAAGAAAGTTGTGTTGCAATTGCAGCTGAACATTGGCGTTAGTCCAGTATCATCGTTGTGCCTCATGAAGACCATCATTGTTCATCCCTAGTTGAGTCCTTTTTTGTTAGAGGGATTAATATTTTGTGTACGATTTCTGGGGGGTCATGGCTGGAAGGTGAAGAGAGAAGTCTGGAAGGTCTACAAATAGCATGTCCAGTCAGAGCAGTATGAGCTGTATTTAAGTCCTGTTGGAGCTGTATGAGTTGTATTCAAGTCCAGTCAGAGTTAAATATGGAGACTATCTTAGAGACAATTGAACACCATACAAGAAAGAGACAATAAGAAGAAATAAAGATTTAAGAGCCTCAGTTCAGCCAGAACTGTGTCTATCTCTCAAAGACTTTACCTCTCCTCATAAAGACATTTAGTGAGCCTCAGGAGGAGAGAAAGTTGAAAATTCTTGTCAATTAATAAATTCTTGTTTGATTCAACTATATAGTCTCTGATCTGTTCCAGCCAGTTCACCTTCCAAGTAGTTAGACATTTAGTGAGCCTCAGGAGGAGAGAAAGTTGAAAATTCTTGTCAATTAATAAATTCTTGTTTGATTCAATTATATAGTCTCTGATCTGTTCCAGCCAGTTCACCTTCCAAGTAGTTAGATAGTGTGGGGCAGAACTATCATGAATATGCTACCTAATCTGAAATACACTGTTGTCTTTCAGTACTGACAAACATGCATCCAAGATATGAGAATGAGATAAAATTGACAGAATGACAAAATTATTGGCTTAGAAACTGTATAGAGTTCTACTTACATTTTTGACCGCAAACATGTAAACTTTTCCTTCTTCTTTTTTAAAATCGTTCATGAACATTGGTGCACTAACCAACAGCACATCTGTTATGGAGTCTCCATTAACATCCATTGAGCATATTACACTACCAAAGTAAGAGCCAATCTGAAATGATGGGAATATTACATGAGTTACAGACTGCTGTCAGACTTGGGCAAACAGTGCACAGAACTTCAAACATGAAATAGCAAACCAAACTATCAAAAACAAATCTCCACTTGCCTGCTCTCCTTTTTGAGAATGAATAATATTTATATTGCCACGGCCATCCACTTGATAAACCACTACTCTTCCAGTATAGTTAGATCGTGGAGCACCAGCCACAAAATAGACAGTGCTTTTCATTGTCAGAACAGCAACAGAATAACCTGAAAAACAATGCTGCAGTTAAGTTTTACCAAGTAACATCTTATATACAGAATAACCTTATAGATACAGGGTGAGGAGAGAAAATCTACCCTCTGCAGAAACTTCAAACATCTAGGTAATATCCAACTTCAGTCTGTTAGCCAATCAATAAAAAGATTTTTCTTTTGTTGTGTCAGGAGCAACTTGCGAAACTGCAAGTCACTTCTGGAGCCCCCGGTGGTGAAATGGGTTAAACCCTTGTGCTGGCAGGACTGAAGACCGACAGGATGGGGGTTTGAATCCAGGGAGAGCATGGATGAGCTCCCTCTGTAAGCTCCAGCTCCCCATGTGGGGACATGAGAGAAGTCTCCCACAGAGATGGTAAAACATCAAAACATTCGGGCGTCCCCTGGGCAACGTCCTTGCAAACGGCCAATTCTCTCACACCAGAAGCAAAGAAAATAAAAAGATTAATAATTGTGAAAATTGCTTTGTGTCCTGTTTGTTGTAAGTTGTTTTGTGCCCCAAACTGGAAAAACTCAGGATAGAAATAAATAAGAGTAACTTAAAATCTGTTAAGCTACTATAAGAGTTTGCAAAATCATTCAAAAGATAAATCTCTCATGTAAAACTGTCTGGAACAGTGATTTCATTCTCCATGCAGGGATATGTACAAGGGGAAATGCTTTCAAGTAACTCTAGCCAGCATGTCATGGTGTTTAGAAGCATTTTATAAATATTTCTATCCCATTGGGACCATGAATCTCACCTAGATAAGAGCTCTGATTTCTATCTTGTAAAACTTTTTCAAATGCATCATTGGGAAACATAGTAGCTTGTTTTTCTGACTCCTGGATCACAGTCCCAGTCCATTCATAGGCCCCAACAGCACCTAACATGAGAACTTCCTTTAGAAAAATCAAGTGGAAAGCAAACAGGAATTAAAATTCAATCAAGCAGGTAAGAGGAGTCAGATTTTGCTTTGGTACACATGCTTTGGGATAAGAGTTTCCCAAAAGATACAAAGTACTTTATAAGCTAAATAGAAAGCACTCAAAAGTGAAAACTAAGCAGCAAGAATTACAAAAATTAAAACATGAAAGAAAACAGAATTAATATATTAACCCAAACAAGGCAGAAACCTCTGAGTATTTAATCTTCTGAAGTTTGCTGTAAATTAAATTACTATATCTTGGAGTCTTTCACCGCATTTGTGATGTTTAATTAGGTTGCTCCCTCTTATATTCTTAATCTCTAAGGGTGCATCTACACCTAATGCAGTTTAACACCACTTTAGCACCCATGGCTCAATGCTATGGGATCACAAGAGTTGTAATTTTACAAGGTCTTCAACCTTCTCTGCCAAAGAATGCTGGTGCCTCACCAAACTACAAATCCTAGGGTTTTATAACATTGAGCCGTGGCAGATAAAGTTGCATCAAACTGCATTAATTTGACAGTATAGATGTGCCATAAGAGTGAGATGACACTCTGCAGTATGACTCACTCTGAAGTGGGAATAGGTACACTTACTGAATTTGACCTCTACAGATAAATAACAATTTCTATCAGTTCATTATTGACAATGAATTTACCAAAACAATTACCAAAATTTGTAGTTCTCCATAAATTTGATAGCTAGACTTGTAAGTTTTTTTTAAAAAGGTAACAGTACAAGGAGAAAGCTAACCACATTTTCCCATTCCTTAATTTTAAGGTGTTTTTGTCTGCAACTCCTCAGATCCCATGCTTACTATGAGATTCTGAGCATTGCCATCTAAAATGTTGATATACTTTCTAAGCTTTTGACAGCTCCTCATTCAACATTTTTGTAACTTCAAATTTCTGTGCTCTTTTAAATGTTTCTTCTTCATACCAAAAGTACAACTGCCCTTTTGCAACAGACACTGCTATAAATTTATTATAAAATAGTACAATATTAGTATAATGTAGCTAGTACAGCAAGGTGTAAGATGTTCATTACCTTTTGCTGTGAATAAGAAGCACTGAAACCCACTTGTGACATTTCCAGCTGAAATAAATCACCTTGATCAGTGCCTAGTAGAAAAACATTAATACATCAGTGTTTGTTTATGTACTTACCCAACAAACATGTTACTCAGATGCAAGACAGTGATTTCAATAATGTCACCTGCTTTCAAATAATGAGTAAAATTTTAAAAAGGCTATTTTCAATTAGCCTCTCATTCAAGATGAGTTTTTGGCTAGTATAAACAAGCTCATAAAAACGAAGTAACAAGTCCCAGACAGTTGGGGCTGGGACACTCACTCCTTATTCTGAACTTTAAAGGAGCTATCCAAAGTGACTTCATCTACTTTTGGGATATGGCGAGTAGCCTTGAAATCTTCTTTAAAGATTAGAGCCAGACCCATCTATTTCTGTTTCATTGACTAGTCTAAAGCGTTTGACTGTGTGGATCATAATAAATTGTGGCAAGTTCTTGGTGGTAACACCTTGTCTGTCTCCCAAGGAATCTGTATAATTACCAAGTAACAACAGTAAGAACTGACCATGGAAAAAACAGACTGGTTCAAGATTGGGAAAGGTGTACGGCAGGGTTGTATACTCTCACCCAACTTATTCAGCTAGTATGCAGAACACATCATACGATTTGTGGGGCTTGACGAATGCAAGGCTGGGGTTAAAACTGCTGGAAGAAACATTAACAACCTTAGATGTGCAGATGATACCACTTTGATGGCCAAAAGCGAGGAGGAGCTGAGGAGCCTTCTAATCAAGGTGAAAGGAGAAAGTGCAAAAGCTGGGCTGCAGTTAAACATTAAAAAAAAAACCAGGATTCTGGCAATCAGACTGATTGATAACTGGCAAATAGAGAAAACGTGGAGGCAGTGACAGACTTGGCAGACTGCAGCCAGGAAATCAGAAGATGTCTACTTCTTGGGAGGAGAGCATTGACCAATCTCGATAAAATAGTGAAGAGTAGAGACATCACACTGGCAACCAAGATCCACATAGTTAAAGCAATGGTATTCCCCGTAGTAACCTACGGATGTGAGAACTGGACCATAAGAAAGACTGAGTGAAGGAAGATAGATGCTTTTGAACTGTGGTGCTGGAGGAAAATTCTGAGAGTGCCTTGGACCACAAGAAGATCCAAACAGTCCATACTTCAGGAAATAAAGCCCAACTGCTCACTGGATGGAAGGATATTAGAGACAAAGATGAAATACTTTGGCCACATTGTCAGAAGACAGGAAAGCTTAGAGAAGACAATGATGCTTGGGAAAATGGAAGGAAAAAGGAAGAGGGGCCGATCAAGAGCAAGATGGATGGGTGGTATCCTTAAAGTGATTGACTTGACTCTGAGGGAGCTGAGGGTGGTGATGTGTGACAGGAAGCTCTGGTGTGGGCTGGTCCATGAGGTCACGAAGAGTCGGAAGCGACTGAACGAATAAACAACAAGCATAGTGGAATCATGATCCTAAAGATGTTGTAGCAACTAGCCCGCACTGGTCCATTCAGGTGTTCTTGGGTATGTGGAATGAGCTGCAAAATTCTTTAATGTCAGTGAATATATATATATATATATATATATATATATATATATATATATATATATGAAACAGTTATTTCTCAACAAATTGCATTATTTAGTACCTTCTATGCTGAAAAGTCGTTCTCCCAGTGTTCCTGCTTCTTCTAGAAGCGCAGCCTCGGAGGACACATTAAAGAAATATTTTGATGTGGGAAGACTTGCTATCCCTTTAATTTCTTTGATTAAGTTTTTAGTGTCCAACTCATTTCTAATTAAATATCCTAATACCTAAAGGAATGTGAAAGAAAAATAATGTTTGTTTTAATAAGAAACAAAGCAATACACTTGTATTTATAAGAAAATGAGTATGCATTTGTTGACATATTTTTATATCCTTCCAGTCTTTTACACAATTTAGCACCTAAAATCTTGGCCTATGGATAGTCAAACAGTAACAAGGAACAATGCTCCTATTGCTCCCTTTGTCAATCATGACAACCCAATAGTAAATTATATGTGTAAGTGAAAGAGAGTGAGCTTCTGCAATGGAGAATTATCCTCTCTTATAATGTCCTTTGGCCTCCTGCATCTTTGTATTTTGTGGTGCATGTCACTTCTATAGCCTTTCTGAAAAGAGCAGATAAACAAACCACAGCTATTGTTCAACATGCAGTGGTGCAATGGGTTAAACCATTGAACTATTGAATCTGGTAAACTAAAAGTTGGCAGTTCAAAGCCGCGGATCAGGGTGGGCTCCCGCAGTTAGCCCTAGTTCCTGCCAACCTAGCAGTTCGAAAACATGCAAATGTGAATAGATCAATAGGTACCGCTTCGGTGGGAAGGTAGTAAAGGCGCCCATGCAGCCATGCCAGCAACTCAACTGATGTCTACAGACAACAGATTCCTTGGCTTGGAAATGGAACATGGAGAGGTGGCCATAGTTGAGCACTGCCTCCAGAAGCCAGAGATGAAAGGGGAAGCCTTTACCTTTGTTCTGTGTATTTGTATATCATTGTTATTCCACTGTATTAAGGCACTACCTGTGTATGTTGTATGTTGTGATTTTTTTAAAAGGTGGTAGTTTCCTGATCTAGTGATGATGGGTGATGGATGATTGATTAATTGATATTCCACCTTTTAAAAAATTAGAACTCAAGGCAGGTTACGGAAACTACTGTATTTAGTCAAATCTAATGTTCACCTTTTTTGGCTACATGACCTTGCCAGAATTGGGGTCCGCATTAGATTAGCATCATACAGTAATCTTAATGCTGCGTCAAAGCAAAAGGAAAAGCTGCTTCAGGAGCTGTACCTGGAGCTCCTCTTTGAGGGGCATTATCTCTAATTAAATGGCCAGAGCTCAATGCTATACAATCCTGGGATTTGTAGTTTGGTGAGGCACCAGCATTCTTTGGCAGAGAAAACTCAAAACCTTCTCAAAATACGGCCCCCATGATTCCATAGCATTGAACAAAGCCAATTAAAGTGGATTCATTCTGCAGCCCAGATGCACCCCAAGGTTTTCTTTTCCATCTCTGCAAGCTTTGGTGTTCTAACACAATTGTTTATAACGAAGGCCTTCTAGGCAGATAGCAACAGTAATGTGCATCTTTTTCAGCCAAATTACAAAGAGTATACATTTTACCACTGCCCATTACATTCGGCAGCAAATACTTTTTTTGGATTCAGGGTTTCAAAAATTGAGGTGTGCATTCGATTTGATAGTGCATTAGACTTGAATAAATATGATTATTTTAGAGGAAGGACCTTGGAAACCACTTCTGAATATTTCTTACCTAAGATAATTCTATGAAATTCACTGGATAGACAAATAACATGAAGGTACATACAAAGTAGTAACAGTAGCATTAGTTAGTAGTGGAGGTCCCTTTAAAACAGTGGCTCTCAACCTGTGTTTTGGCTTTCAACTGCCAGAAATCCTAACAGCTGGTAAACTGGTTGAGGCCAAAACATCTGGGCACCCACAGGTTGCGAATCACTGCTTTATAATATGATGCATTAAATCGGGGGTGTAACCAGGTGTTGATCATCAGCCAGTGGCTAGGGTTATGGGAGAAATGTTCCTAATAATTATATCTTCTTGATCACTGCATTAACTAAAGCACTGCCACCCAAAGCAAAGAAAGCAAGACCAGCTCAAGCTGTCACCATAGTAATGAAAGCCTTACTTACTGCTATACCAAATCTAGTGATATTATCCTCGTTGCATTTTGCTATCACTTCCTGCAATTTCGAACCATCATGTGATTCACCATCTGTCACAACAACCATGACTTTGGAGGCTGAGGGTCGCCCACCAGATTCTTTAGAGAAAGCATAACGCCTGTAATGAAAACCATGTGCACATTTCTAAACACATAAAGTACTTTCTTAAGCACGCTTCCATTAGAACATTTACCACCCCCAAAGTAAAGTACAGAAGATCTTCACTATTGCACATACAGACTGAATGCATAGAGAGCATTAACATTCGAAGCACTATTCAAGCATTTTTTAATTACATACAGGTTTGGCAGCAGTGAGGTAGTTGCTCTCACTTTTTATATTAATGGGGGGGGGGAGCACTTAGCTTATCATTAGTGACTATTGGTGTCTTTTACCTGGCATACTCAATTGCTCTGAATGTGTTTGTATATTCTCCTCCATTCTGATAGGTCTCTGACATTGCTTGGACAGCGTCTTCTTTATTCGTATATGTATTCAGGTTGAATACTTCTCTTGGATGATTACCATACTGAATTAAACCTACCTAAAATTAAGAAAAAGGAATGAAAACCAGGCTTCATAATTCTAGATAAATTAATATGAATATATGTCACAGGGGAATCTAACTTTGAATTGCAGGCATATGGATGGCTGTATCCAAAAATGACTTCACAGTCATAGTGTCTGGAATTCTGTATGGTCCAACAGATCATAGTAGTCCCTTATGTAGAATTGCACTGCAGCCAGCCATTAATTGAGCCCAGACTTACCACAGTACCATTGCAACACCAGAGCTATTCTGTATCTGGTGGAAAACTGAGGCAGAAGCATCTGGCTATATCCATATAGCCAGGCTTAAATGGATTTCACCATCTTCCAAGTATCTATCACACACACACACACACAAACACACACACACACACTTTTATAACTGTCCTCTGAACTTTAAATATATTCTACTGAATGGATGCCCTTCAGGTACTTAGAAAATAATTATAGCTATATAGGGATTATTGTTACTCTGTGCAAATGTGTTGCCTCTATATTATATATTCCTTATATATAACCAGTGAGTCTTGAAGTTGTAATCAAAAAAGCAACTCAGGTCGACTTATCCATGAGTCAATGTTAATTCCATACCTTAAGTCTTATTGAAAAGGGAATAAGAGCTTAATCCATCCTGGGAAAACTTAAAGCACCAGATCCCTTAACTCTCGCTGCCACAGTGCCACTTCTGAAAGGTCTTTGACTTATCCATGGTTCCCATAAATTTGGCCTTCTAACCTACCCTTGACTTATACATGAGGCTGATTTATACCCAAGTATACATAGTAGTCGTAGAATAGAAAGCATTCCCCTTCTATTCTCACTACCTCACTACCTCTGAGGATGCTTGCCATAGATGCAGGCGAAACGTCAGGAGAAAATGCCTCTAGAACATAGCCATATAGCCTGGAAAAACCTACAACAACCCAATTCCCTTTAACGTTCATGAGGTGATGTCAAAAATTCCTGAACTGCTCTGTCAATAGGAAGGAACTTTCACTCATAAGAAACAAACAAAATAGGATAATAATTGCTCATTATTTTACCATTGCAATAGACTGAAGTGTTCTATTTGTCTTGCTAAGGTAACACTTTATGTAGTTAGCAGTAAAATGCATCCTTGCCTTTGATAAAGCTGCCTCATCTTGAATAAAAAAAAATGTTTGACCCACTCACCTGAGTTTTGGTGGGGCCTATATCTAAACCTTGGACAAACTTTTTCAAAAATGCCTTGACAGCATCCCAAGGGTAAATACTATTTGACTCATCACATACCACCACGACATCAACAGCTGAAGAGCATTCTGCAGAAGAAAAGGGTAAAACAAGGGTTTGCTCGATGTTACTTTCACTTATACAAAATCATAGAGTTGGAAGAAACCCCAAAGACCACCCAGTCCAACCCTATTCTGTCATGCAGGAATACACAATCAAAGCACTCCTCACAGATGTCCATCCAGTCCCCGTTTAAAACCTCTCATAACACTCCGAGAAAGCATATTCTACTATCTAACAGATCTTATCAAAAGGATTTTCCCAAATATTCAGGTGGAATCTCTTTTGCTCCACATCCTAGTTTCTAGAGCAGCACAAACCAAGCTTGCTCCATCTTTGATGATGCTTTAAAATACTTAAACATGGCTATCTTGTTGCCTCCTAACTCATTAGGACATTAGGCAATGATGCTAAAATTTATGGACTCAGGATAAAAGGGGAAATGAAGTGATTCTGGTCTCTTCAGAATGAAGATGATGAAACAGATCACAATGTCCTACCAGGCTACATTCATACTATCAGTGAAACAATACTGCTACTGTGATCAAATATTCCCAGTCTGATCAGAGAAGAAAGTAGCCATACTCCTATTCTTTTTCTCTTATTGAAAAAAAAATGACAAAATGACAAGGGCATTTTAGAAATAGAAATACTGGGGAAAACATAACAATTGACAGATCTTAAATATGTGACTTTACTCTGTGATTTGTGTAATAACACAAAGGAAAGTAATGGAAGGTTGTTCAGCTGAAGAACTGAATGATATTGTCGAAGGCTTTTAATGGCCGAAATCACTGGGTATCTGTGAGATACATATACATGCCACTTGCTTTACTGCCAACAGAACATCTGAAGATGCCAGCCACAGATGCAGGTGAAATGTTAGGAGAGAATGCTACTGGAACATGGCCATACAGCCCAAAAAATTCACAGCCACCCAACTGAATGATACATTAGTATTTAGAACTTTTTAAAAGTCACAGATAATTAAGGATGAAGTAACACCTTCTAATAGGATCCTGCCACACTTTGACAATTAGATTGTGCGCAGTTACAATCCACACATAACCTAAGGGAAAATACAGTGAGCCCTTACTATCCATTCGGGTTTGGTTCAGTTCCAGGGCCATCATGAATACCAAAATTCATGGATGCTCATGTCCTGCTATGTACAAAAGTATAATCAAAAGATATCCCTTATATAAAATGGCAAAATTGTATATAACATTTTATTTAAAAAATACAAATATAAAAGTTTTCTTTTTGGATTTTTATGAAATAGTTTCAAGCCATAGATGGTTAAAATCAGTAGATATAGAAACTGAAGATATGCAGGGCCAGCTGTACTAGACGACAACTACGGGCCCTTCCACACAGCCATAAAATTCAGAATATCAAGGCCGAAAATCCCACAATATCTGCTTTGAACTGGGTTATCTGAGTCCACATGCCATATATTCCAGTTGAAAGCAGAAAATGTGAGATTTTATTCAGCTGTGTGGAAGGGGCCTACATTTTCCCCAATAAAATAATGACTATTGGAATAGCTCGTATTCTTTCTTGTAGATCTGGAATGAAGGGCGTGGGTTTCTGGGTTATATGTTCTTAAATTTGACAAGTCAATGAAACTTTTATTATATTTAAAGACAGAGCCAGTTCCTTTAGATGCACTGGTTGTTTCTCACTTTTAAAGCTGAGAAATGTTTACTGTCATTGCCTTACTTTGTACAGCTGGTGAAAAACTTCTCATGAGTTGGAGGCTTGGACTGAACTCAGAACAGATCCCTGTTGCATAGTACTGGCTGCCACACTGCTGAGCCCACAAAGGACCACAAGTCTTTGAAACAAAAACACAGAGAAATCAAATTCAGTAAGATTATACTGCCACACCACCACTCATCAAGGCAGGCACCAGTTAACTCCCTTCCCATGAGATTTGACATGCATATTGTGTTAAATTGTGCACTGCATGGTTTTTCTCTTGCTAAAAGCCTGACCAATGGAGCACGCACACAAGAATGCATAAACTGAATGGAAGAGAAAACATTGCTCCCTACCCTCCTTCTGGCCTCTCATGGGTAATGAGAAGGGACTGAAACTCAGAAGATGGGAGAAGTAGGACTGTCGTCATCAAAGACACAACAGAAAAGAACAAACAGGGCTCTTTCACAAAACTTTCCACATGGAACTCAAATCCAAAAAAAGGCTTTTGAAAGGTCACCTTAGAACTTTTGGCTCTGATGTAATATATTCGGTATCACACAAACAACCTGACTATGACTGGCCAGAAGATGGCACCAACTGTCAGCTTATACCTACAAACTTTGTATGGGTAAACTTAGAATTAATGTTGTTTGACTCCACTTTAACTTTTATGGCGCAATATGCTATGGAATCATGGGAGTTGTAGTTTTACAAGGCATTTAGCTTTCTCTGCCAAAAAGTGCTCACTAAACTACAAATCCCAGGATTCATAGCACTGAGCCACGACAGTTTAAGTGGTGTGAAAATGTATTAAATCTACAGTTCAGATGCACAATTTGATGTAAATTGATTAAATTATTTCAAAAACACCAGTAATTAAAAAAACTCTAAATGTGGATTAATTCTAACCCATATTTTTGAGACAGCATGTTGCTTCCAAGGCTATTTTAGCAGTTTTCAATATCAACTGGATGTGTATCTACACTGCAGAGTGATACAGTTTGACACCACTTTAAGTAGAGTCCACAACACGTAAGTGTGGAGAAGAGCAAACCACAGATCACCTATTACAATGCAGTCTGAGCCCTGCCACATGCACAATGCAGGACCTTCTTATAGCAACACCAGAGGCACTCCAAGTGGCCAGCTACTGGTCAAAGGACATTTAGTATAATGCAAAGTTTTTAAACTTTGTTTGTGTTTTTAAATCCATACAACTGTATCATTGGTTTGCTTCTGATATGATAAATAAATAAATAAATAAATACAATTTTAACAGCAATTGATCAATGTTATGGAACCCTTTTGCTTCACCAATCTCGAATTTGAGGAGGCACCAACTCGGTTGGTAGAGAAGACTAAAAGCTGCGTAAAACTATAACCTCTATGTATTGTCGAAGGCTTTCATGGCTGGAATCACTAGGTTCTTGTGGGTTTTTTCGGGCTATAGAGCCATGTTCTAGAGGCATTTCTCCTGACGTTTCGCCTGCATCTATGGCAAGCATCCTCAGAGGTAGTGAGGTCTGTTGGAATATAAAGCCATTGTCCTAATTCCAACAGACCTCACTACCTCTGAGGATGCTTGCCATAGATGCAGGCGAAACGTCAGGAGAAATGCCTCTAGAACATGGCTCTATATCCCGAAAAAACCCACAAGAACTTTATAACCTCTATGATTACTTAGTAGTCAGTCATGGCAGGTAAAATGCTGTCAAATTGCATTAATTCTACCATGTAGATGCACCCATAATGACCCATTTTCTTGCTTGTTCTTTTCTTTGGGTGTCTAAACATTATTTCTAAATGCTCAGTTGAAGTTTTGTGCTACTGCAATTCTGGATATTTGGGGACTGGAGGAAAACTTCATAGCAATATCCCTGTCTGCTTTTCCCCGTTGTATTTGTTGTAAATTGGCAGCACAGGAAACAAAAGCAGAATGGATGAGGTGGCAACATATTTTTATCTTAAGGTAAATTTTCCAGCTATGTGTGCTGCTCCAACAGTCCAGGAGGCAAGTGGGACTCTTGCCTCCTGGTTGTCTTTCTGCTGACTGGATTCATTGAATTGGCAGCAAGCTATGGCTACTTGGGGAAGTGAGTGTGAAATGCTGCACTCTGCTAATAGGCGTACTGTAATTCCCATAAAAGCTGCTTTAGATGGGCTTCTATAGCATAAGAAACTTTGTGGATAATGCAATTAAGTCATAGGGGACTTGTTTTTGTTGCATTTGCAGCACATAAACACAGCAAGCTCTGGAAGGTTTCCCATAATATGAAGTGCAGCATTCACAAGCACAGAGAATGCTTCTAGACTATGGCAGAGAACACAACCTTAAATGCTGGAAGTTTTTGTACCAGGCAATTAGTTTAAAAGCTGAATTCCATTTTAAAGCAACATGATGCAAGTTTTTCCCTTGTTAGAAAGCCATAAACTAATGTTCCACGAAGAAAAAAACACCCCTATTTTGTATTATTAGGTAGATTCAAATACACGTGTAATTTTAATGGATAACTATTTAGGAAATAGGTGGGAATTGGAGGACTCTCCAGATGTTGAAGTCCAAATTCCCAGTTCTGATAACTGGCTCAGGTTTTTGAGAGTTGCAGTCCACAAGCATCTGGTGATTGCCACAGTACCCAATTTTGGTTTAGGGTTTAGAAATGGCAAAAGGATAAGGCTCTCACAATTTTAAGCATTTCTTTTGATCCTGGCTTGTAAAGAAACCTTTTTAATGATTAAATCCCATGGTACTGAAGCAAGATCTGTTCGTGTGGTGGAGGCAGCTCTTCTACTAACCCACAACAGTTTCCACATGGTTTTCTATGTTCCCTTATAGTGTCTCCTAACCCTCTCATCCTGATCTAGGTACATTTATAGAGAAATCTGAGGAGTGGGGGAGTAGAGGAGATATCCACTAGTGTGTTCATTATGTTGGTGGAAGGACATATTTGGATACAAGCCACTGGAATGGAGGTAGGAATGTACCTAAATTTAAGGGATCTAGCTTGTTTCGGTACAAATGAATTCACTTATTCCAGGATAGACCTCTAGAATAAGCAAAATATACAGAGACAGACATTCACATATATATGTGTCTACACAAACACATACACACATCAATAAAGAGGGAAGGCAGAAATGTGTTGTGAAGTGCAATAAAGTATAAGCATTTTCTCTTGTGAACTCTAGAATTCAGCAACAACTACAGCTGAGACCTTTGGGTCCTGCTATGGATATGTGTACATAAGCAGAGAAAACCACAAGAATTGGTACTCTTTCTTTATTTTTTGAAAAAAAAATATCCAAAACAGGAGTAGAATGCCACTGTGGTAGTTGCTTGTTCTGAGAGGTGTAGACACAACTAAATATATCTGAACTGTTTGTTTTTGTGTCAGAAGAAACTTGATAAACTGCAAGTTGCTTCTGGGGTGAGAGAATTGGCCGTCAGCAAGGACGTTACCCAGGGGATGCCTGGATGTTTTGATGTTTTCTTAATCATCCTTGTGGGAGGCTTCTCTCATGTCCCCACATGGGGAGCTGGAGCTGACAGAGGGAGCTCATCCACGCTCTTTCCGGATTTGAACCTGCAACCTGTCAGTCTTTAGTCCTGTTGGCACAAGGGTTAACCCATTGCACCACTGGGGGCTTCTAATATCTGAACTGTGGGTGAAGGAATACCAACTGGACCTGATTGAAACTATACACATGGAAAGAAGTAGAGATGGTGTGTGGGTCAGAAATACAAATATTTGATTATTCACAGTCATTATGGTAGTTGTCTACTCAGTGTCGAAGCAAATGAATATTCCTCCACACTATTCTTCCCGTATTCAAATATCCTGAGGTATTGTAAAGGAGAACTTTTGCAGAGAACTTTTTGTATAGAAATCAGGTTTTCTGCACAGGAAAGAGTACTTTCTGTGCAGCATCACTTTTTGAATTATTATCAGGAATTATTTTTATTCACACACACTCTGCAGAATAGTTCCCCTGCACCTTCTCTGGATGTTTGACTATATGGTCAATACTGCACTCATTCCTTGGTACTCTATTATTCTTTCCAGTGGGGTACACCAAATGTCAGGGAAACCCATTTTCCAATCTAGGAGTGAACAATTATGAATATTCTTAATGAATGATTGAGAACACAAGAAATGAACTTTCTGATTGCTCAGAAACCTCACTGAGGTGGATGAAGTCTTCATCATGCTTAAGGAAGCCAGTGGATGTCATAATAAATAAGCATTCTAGGAAAACCAGTTGTAAAAGTCTGATGGCTTATTCCCACCAAATGCCTAAGAAGCTGGTGGCCCCTCCAGATGATCACAGAACTCTAATGGACTCGTGCAGGGAAATATGGTACTTCAAATAACTTACATTTTATCACTGAAAGGACAGAAACTATATTTTCGTTATTCACATTGTCAGCACTTACCAAAAATCCTCCAGTTACGGAGTTCCTTACTAGAGTTAATCCGAGGTTCATGTCCTTCTTTATCTCTGTCACATTTGGAATACTTGCAAAAGCTATGGAGACACAATAAAAACAACAGAAGGTGCAATTTTTGACATTTAACCCAATGTATCTGAAGTCTTCAAATGTTTGAGGCTGCTTCCTAGCCATTCTCATTTCACCTGTGCAAAAATGACACATGTGTATTTCTGTGCAGAAGGATTTCTTGAAATAGTTTTGAATGTGCAAAGACTGGATGACAGAGGTGCAGAAGCAGTCATTTTCAATAGGGAGAGACCCATTTTTGATGGAAATGAACAATGCCTGAGAATGCCCCTAGATTTAGGTGCCCAAACACATTTTTTTATTTCAATTATTTTTTGCTGCCAAACTTGTTCTAACATCAGAGTCAGGTTACCTCCTGAAATAAAGAAGACATAGACTTTCTTAATTATTATCACTTACTTTGCAAATTCATCTTTGAACATTTGGTTCCTTGCTGACTAATAGCACACTTATAAACGTCACCCATTCTATTTCTTGGATAGCCACTCCAGGGTGAACCAACCAGCAGCCTGGAAAACAGACAATCATATTCTTATGAAAGATTTTGTCATTTCAGCTAAAAGATCTCAAAAGAAGATCTCAATTCAGAGAGAAGAAACAACAATGTCCAATTGTTCAGAAGAGGATAAAGAGTATGTAATTAGCTTCAAAAGTAACATAATTAAGGAGTTGAACTGATTATTACTGTATTTACTTGAGTCTAGTGCACCATCAAATGTGAATTGAGTCTCATTTTTGTCTTTTTTCCACTGGGGCTATTAGAGGACATGGCACTCGCCCCCTTTCCCCAAAGGGAAACTGGTGATAAACCATTTTGGATTTTGGAGTATTCTGGATTTATGGACAATGGAGACTTAACCTGTATAGAAAATGCTGAACTGTACAGAGTGTTTCAAAAATATGGACCCAATTTGAAATTGCTATATCTCTGTAACCACAAACTGCTCATGAATGAAATTCTTTGAACTTGAAAAGGTGGAACAAAGACTTTTCCAATAATTACTGCTAGATGCCTCTCCCAGTGCACAAACAACCCCTAGACTCAGTTATTCACAAGGTGGTAACCCCAAAACATAAGGCCTAATGAGATAGTCTACATATGCAGTTATTTTTTAGATTTGTTTCTGGCTCAAAATGATTAGTAAAACTTGATAAATGTATTACGTATTAAACTGTATGCAACTTTTTGTTGCCCTTGTTGGTGGGGACGAGGGAGATGGCCTTCTCGGTGGTGGCTCCCTGGCTTTGGAATGCCCTCTCCAGTGAGATCAGATAGATGGGAAACCACTAAAGGGAGTTCCCCAGTTACGAACATGATAGAGTCTGGGTTGTTGTAGGTTTTTTCGGGCTATATGGCCATGGTCTAGAGGCATTCTCCAGTGATTCCGGCCATGAAAGCCTTCGACAATACATGATAGACTCTCTAGGTCTGGTCTTAAGTTGCATTTGTTTGTAAGTTGGAACAGTAACTTGTGTAACTACAACCAAAAATATGTATTTTTAGTTTTGATTAGCATAGGGAAGGGTTAACACCCCTGGGGTGTTTGCTTTGCTGTATGTGCCCCTGTTCAGAAGATTTCACCTCATTTTCCATCCCTGTGATAAATTGGATTTTGAAAAGAAATAGCTTGTTGTGGAAACAAGGATTGGTGATAAAGCTTCAGCTGAGACCCTTTCCCTCCATCATAACTTTTTCAGGAGCGAATTTTCCTTCCTAGGGGTGGATTTCTCTCACTTCCTGTTGTCTCACACCCGTTCTTAACTATGAGAAATTTGGAAGTCTGATGTTTGTAACTCAGGGACTGCCTGTACTACCATATTCTGCCCCAGTTAATGCAAATAACCATAGCTTGAAATTCAGTACTCGATCAACTACTCCACTCCTGCACTTAGGTATGTTCTGCAAGTCTGTCTTCTTAATTCATACCTGGATTGGGCCACACCCTTACAAAATGAAAAGAGTGTAATCCCACAGCCAGGAATTACACTCATTCAATGGTGCAAGTCAGAACAGCTCTGATAATCATAGAGCAAAAAGCAGCTGGGAGAAACAGGTAAGCACTGTCTTCAACTGCCCAGCAAAATGATCCTGCAGTGGATTCTATATTCTGCCAACCTCTTCACCATATAGTAGTAGTAGTAGTAGTAGTAGTAGTAGTAGTAGTAGAAGAAGAAGAAGAAGAAGAAGAAGAAGAACTTTATTTTTCTACCCCGCCTCCATCTCCCCGAAGGGACTCGGGGCAGTTTACATGGGGCCAAGCCTAGGCAACATACAATTAAAAGCAAAGCAATAACAAAATACAATTTAAAAAGCATAAAACAACATGACAATAATAGACAAGTGTCAAGCAACAAAAACTAATTTAAAAGGGGGGAAGGCCAGTATACGGGCTGATTAAAGAATAATTGGTTCAATAAGGTGGATGAAAATATATGATAGCATAGGAAATATCATGAATACAGAGCAATTTAACAGGAACAGAATCAATTCAGTTTGACTTACAAAATCTGAGTACTAACATATTATAAGAATTTAGGTTGAATAACAATTACGTCGCAATACAATATACTCACAAAAATGGTAGATCATACCACATGAATCAAAACAAGCTCAGGGCAACTCAGGGCAATTCTACATTGCCATATTGTGCAATGTAGAGTCTTGTTAGACTGCGTGCCTCATCAAATGACAGCTCCCATGATGCCACAGCACTGAACCATGACAGTTAAAGTGCTGTCAAACAGCATTAATTTTATAGTGTAGATGTAGATGCATCCTTGATTTGCCCAGATTATCCGAGAAAAGGCTTTATGCAACAGTCATTAGTCTATACAGAAATGACTGTATACACCAATCAACATGCACATGGTTGAGCTTATTTGGCATAGAGGTGATTTTCCTGGCATTTCAAATATGTACTAAAAGCCAAATCCTTGGCATAGAGGCAGATTTTGATGGCTGTTTTCCATAGTCAATACACCTGTGTTTTTAAAAGCACCTTTTGTCCTGCAGGTTATATTATTGCAGGAATCAAGTGAGTGGAATACAAACTGATTACCAGCATTTTGTTGTAAGGTGTGATCAGAAGAGTTAAACCGTAGTTTAGAATGCATCTACACTTTAGAGTTAATACAGTTTGACAGCACTTTAACTCATGTGTCAATGCTACGAAATCCTTGGAGTTGTAGTTTGGTGAGGCCCCAACAATCTTTGGCAGAGAAGGAAACAGACCTTGTAAAACTACGGTTCTCATGCTTCCACAGCATTGAGCAATAGCAGTTAAAGTGATGTCCAACTGCATTAGTTATACAGTGTTGATGCACTCAAAGAAATGCATTGCATTTAATTAAATATTGGTTCCAGATTTCTGATGTCTTCATTTAAAAGGGGGAGTGTTTGTGGTATTCAATTTTTTTAATGAACCATGGCTCATACAAATTAAGTTTTTCAATCTGGTGACCCCCTGGTGGCACAGCAGTTTAAACCACTGAGCTGCTGAACTTGCTGACAGAAAGGTTGGTGGTTCAAATCCGGGGAGCAGGGTGAGCCCCTGCTGTCAGGCCCAGCTTCTGTCAATCTAGCAGTTCAAAAACATGCAAATGTGAGTAGATCAATAGGCACCACCCTGGTGGAAAGTTAACAGCACTCCATGTAGTCATGCTGGCCACGTGACCTTGGAGGTGTCTACAGACAACGCTGGCTCTTCAGCTTAGAAATGGTGATGAGCATAGTTGGACACGACTAGACTTAATGTCAGGGGGAAACTTTACCTTTACCTTTACTTTAATCTGCTTTCAAGGATCCTATAATTCTCTGGAATAGATTTTGAGTGTCTGAGGGTTGGAAGTCGTCCAACCCTCAGATTTTGAGTGTCTGAGGGTTGGACGACTACTCAGGGCAAGAATCCCTGTTTGTCTATGGAAAACCACTGGGTTACCTTGGGCAAGTGACTCCCTCAGCTTCGGTGAAAAGTAAATATAAATTCTCCTCTGAACAAATCTTGCCAAGGAACCTGAGAATAGCTTCACGTTAGAGGTATCATAAATAAAAAAATGATTAGAAAACACCACCACCATCATAACAGGGAAATTTCTTTTCCACCACTATTTTTCTCCTAGTAGATTAACATTTGTTACTATGAAATTTCCAAATTACTGCAAATATTCAAATATGCAAATAAAGTGTTAATTAAATTGGTGACTGTTTAACTGTTTGAATGTTTTTATACTGTTTTTATACTGTTTTTATTAAAAATGTATATTTATGCTTTTGGTTGTGGGCACCATGGTGTGCTGGTTGTTAGCTGCCCTGAGTCCCTCTGTGGAGGTCTAGATAGGACAGGATACAAATGTCCGAAATAAATAAATAAATAAAGGAATGTATTTTAAACATCTCCCCAGAGGTAAACAATTTTCTGTAGCACTTAAAGAACAGCTTTCCTATTATGACACAGTAAAAACATCCTAAGTAAATCGAGAGGACTATTATTCTAATTATGTCACATAAGTGATATCATGAAATGTCTTGAGTCATTCTGTAATTATGGGTTCTGTCTATGGGAGATAACTGCAGTACATTGAGCAAGCAGTCACTGGAAGTCAAAATAGCCAAGGAAAGAGCAGTTCTCAGATAATAATAATTTTGTTTCCTATATGTTACTGTTTTGAATTCCTGTATAGTGCCAGCTTCCTTTCCAACACTGACCACATCCTGCGTTTCCTTCCATACGCAGTAATTTGCCACTGACAGAAAGTTCAAATTGTAATCCAAACAAAGGAAATATTATGTTTTGTCTGGCACTTACTGCAATGAAAATGTAATGTGTGAAGGGATGACCTAGAGACTTAAAATGCTTAGGGCAGATGTGGTAGAAATGTACTGTCACTTTCTACACCTATTGCTTGTATGCTTTTTAAATATTTATGTCAGCAATGAAGTATTGTTCTACATCTAGTATTGCAGAGAGTATGATTTCATTTCACGATTAATCTTTGACGGCTTTGCACATACTACCAGAAAAGCATTCTTCTTCATATCCAGAATTGGTCTCAATAGGATATTTAAACCGACAGAGGAAGAGGATAATACAAGTTGGAAAAAGAATTCAGGAAAAGTTTGGGATTCTGAAAACTATTTGTATGAGGTTTAATCAAGGACTGAACAAAAACTTGGTTTTTAAATCCTTGGTCAAAATGTGCATTTCAAAACACTGGAAACTAAAAAAGCAGTCAATTGTCATGTGTTTTTTTCTTTGCATTTGCTGACATTTTGAAAAAAAAATCTGCACAAAACACTAGGGGTGTGCATTTCGGGGGGAAATCCTTTCCTATTTCGGTGCCATTTTTCAGCAGCTCCCCATTCCGTTTTCTGGAAACATCCCGCTATCGGGAGAGGTAAAATGCCATTTTTCAGGTTGCCAGTCATAACTTTCGGTTGCAATCAGGCCATTGGTTGCAATGGGACAACTTCCCTTGTTTTGTAATTTTTAAAACATATTTTTTGGGGAAGGAAGGTACAGAACAGAATACAAACAAGCAAGAAGATAGAGAGGACTGAGGAGGGATAGGAAAGAGATTGAAATTCTCCCTTTGCTACTAGAATACCTCAGGTTTGGCTTGAGTATGCCAACACTGCAGAACTAGTACAGTTCACACCACTTGACCTGCCATGGCTCAATTCTATGGAATCATTGGAGGTGACATTTCACAAGGTCTGTAGCCTTCTCTGCCCAAGAGTGCTGGTGCCTCACCAAACTAAAAAAAACAAACAAACCCAGGATTCCATATCCCTGAACCATGGCAGTGAAAGCTGTGTCAAATTGTATCCATTCCCCAGTGGAGATGCACCCTGGGGGGCCACCCCCATGCTCCGCTCCTGCCTTTCCCCTCTGTAGGCTCCAGGCATGGATCTGAGGTTAAGCTGCTCCAGATCTTGAGAATTCAAGTAGTAAAGATGCACAACTTGAATTCATATTTTGTTTTCAAAATATAGTATAAATCAAGGTTTGTTTTAAATATTTCAGAGAAGAGATCGAAAGGAATGCAGAAGCATTCATCATAGCTTCCTTATCTATATAGAACAGTGAAGTCTACTTAATTTCAGAAGCCAAGGACAAGGAATCATTTAAAAATTCTTCCACTTTGGTCTATTTGTATGATCCCTCCCTCTATCACACATTTTAAAGATTATTAAATATAAAATTGGACATTGAGGTCACCTCATGTTGAACAATACTGTGACTAAACCTAAATATTGAAATGAAGAATTATTACTCAGCTTTCTAAACATCCTCTCCATGAGTCCTTTCTTTGTCAGGGATCTGAATTGTCGGAAGCCCCAAACTGTAGACACACAATTACAAACATACACCAGACTGTGGGATGGAGCAGATCAAAGTACATGTGTTATCTATAGAAACCAGCTCAAGACCAGAAATGGGTGCAGCCTAAAGTCAACTTTAAATCATTTAAGTCAGTGTTAGCCCTCCCCAACCTGTTCAGCAATAGACCAGAGTGCTCTGGAAGTGGTGGACTCCCCTTTGATAGTGATTTTTTTTAAAAAAAGAAGTGGCTGGATGACCACGCATTGGGGGATACTATAGTAACAGGCTTCAACAACAGCAAGAGGATTAGAATGGCTGCTCTTTAGGCCTGCTTCCATGCTTATGATTCTGGACCTTGTGCAAACCAAGGTAGCTAAAACTCTTTTTCTAAAAGCCATCTTTTGTCTTTTAATCAATACCAGTAGACAATATTTGCTCTCCTTCAGCTCTGCAGTCTCTGAGAAGCATGGAGAGACATGTATAGATTTGCACTGTAAATGCCACAGCATACAAATTGAATTGTAGAACCTTGTGTTGGTATACAGCCAATCTTGAATACTTTACAGTATAACTGTAATTTTGTTATTTATCAGTCTTTAGATCTCTCATACAAGACCCAATAAATATCCCCACAGCATCGCAAACACATCTCATCTCATTTGTCTTTCAAATGTAAGCAAGGCATGATTTAGGTAATACTTGGATGAGACGATTGTTATTATTATTTGCTATTATGTCAACTTTGACCTATGGCTCCCCTCCGAATGTCAGACCTCCAAAATCCCCATCATTAGCTGCTCTGCTGAAGTCTTGAAAACTCAGGGCAATAGCTTCCTTGACTGAATCAATCCGTCTGTAATGTGGTCTCTCTCTTTTTTCCTACTTCCTTCCTCTGTATTACCTGCTTCCAAGCAAAATGCAAAGTGCTGGTTATGACCTATAAAGCCCTATATGGCTTAGATTCAGGAAATCTTGAAGACTATTTCTCCCCCTCCTTCCTTTCCTCACCAGGCCAAGATCTTTTTTATTTAAACAGACCTTCAGCTTTTAACAGGTAATGCAATGTGTAGGTTTAAATGTAATTTAGTTGTTTTAAAAATCCATGAAAGTCTGAATTCCTTGACAGCTGTTCTACCTCATGGTATCCCTCCCTCCTTCCCTTCCACATATATCCTGCCTTTCATCCTCTGAGCTACAGATAGAGTAACTGGTTCCTCTCTGCCCACTTTATCCTCGTAACAGTAATCCCTGAGAGAGATCATACTGAAAGGATACTGCTAGTCCAAAATCACCAAGTAAGCATTCTTCCTTCCATTTCCATTATATAATATGAGGGGGGGGGGTTTGGGGTGGGGGGGGCGAGGAGCACACCATAAAGTCATGCTGGAAGACCCAGGAAATGCTTAGAGAGGACAACTTCAGTGTAACTCACTTGACCTTCAACACAAGTCTCTGGCCAACTTCCAGTGCAAGTGTACCAGTGTGGGACCTGTTTCGGGTTTACACGAGGCATCCAAATGACACTTGAGGTAAACCCAAATTAAACACCTAGAAAGATCTGGACCTTAGTGTAGCCACCTCCCCTGGAAAAGCCTGGGGTTTGAGGGAGATGTGGGGCTTCAATCCCAGGAGGAACTGGGATTACTAACCCTGATTCTCTCCTTATTCAGCAAGGAGAGTTTTGATAAATCTTCTACCATCCCAGTTCCTCCCGGGATTAAGGCCTGCCTGGAAGGGCCCCTTGAAATCACTTAGAGAGGATGTATTTGGGACAAAAGCAAATAGAAACAGAGTATCTTGTGATTCTCTTGATAGCATATTGCCTTAGAGGACATTTAAGCAGAACTTCATAGCTACAGGGTAACTGTCTTTTGCTTTGCTTTTGCATTGTCTCTGAATGAAGAACAGAAAATGCTTACCATTTGCCTTCTTCATTTAAAAGCTGTTGAACGTTATATCCAAATTGCTCACTCGAGGGGCCGGAAAATACTTTTGCTCCTTGGAGTCCAACATTGTAGGCTTCACAGCAGTTCTGAAAGATACCTATTAAGAGGAAGTAATATCATAAAAATCAATTAAGAAATGGATGCAATCCCCTTCTGCACCTCATTTCCACTTCACATATGATTTATGTGCCATGGTGGTATTCCACATTTCCGCAAAAACGCTGCATAGATACAACAACTGGACCTGCGTCAGAATTCAGGATCTCAGTTTCATTAAAAAAACTATTTGAAACCCTTACATTAGAGTAGAATGGGTTTGAAAATGTGTAGATTAAGGAGGGAAACAGTGAACAAATTGTCATATATTGGTTCATGCTAGGCTGGTGTTGCTTCCTCTAATTGCTGATGCCTTTCTGAAATTTCAAGTATATGTTTTTAAGTTACCTGTTTCTTGAAGTTTTTTGGGGCTTATCATGCCAAAAGAAGCCATTGACTAAACTTTCTACAGGCATGTATTACCTTACACAAGTTAACCTAAATATATAGCAGAGCAGCATAATTTTCAGTGGACAAGAATGTTGTTTCAGTTTATTGCAGAGGTTCTCTCCTTCCAGTTATAAGTAGAAGCAGGAGACAAAAGAGGTAAATATACCAAAGTGATGCAGTCGTTAAAGTCTTGGATTGGGACTTGAAAGTTTCACAGCATAGCACAGCTCTCCAAAGTACGGACAAAGAGACAGTTCCTTGGATAACAAACTCTGATGCTGTTCTCAGAGTTTTGATTAATAATCTACGGTCCCATTTTCAGCTCCTTTTAGAATGTTCCAGTTTTTCTGTCCTCCTTCCATGACCCCCTTTATTATCAGCTAATGCTAATTGCTATAAACACTTCAAAGTGAAAGAGTAGCTTGCACTAAATTAATTCAGCAGATGAGGAGAGGAGCAGGAGGAGACTTGTCCATCCTAGCAGGCTCAGACAAAAGCAAACAGTTGCAGCCTCTCCTAGCTTGTGTGTTCCTCTCATTCATAACCTTTGACCAAATTCTAATGTTGCTTCATCTCAAATATCCCAGTTTTCATCTGTGAAATTTTGAGGATTTAGGATAATGAAATTCTCAATTGTTCACACTTATTTTCAACTGAATTTTCACATGAGTTTCTTATTCTACCTTAGACTCATTACTCTTCAATAATTCTCTAACTTGGTGTCAGCTCCTCTTGCAATAAATAACATATTACATCATTTTATAGAAAGATTGCTTTCACATTATAAAGAAGCAAGTCAATAGGTGTTTTGCAAAACAGAGGATATTAAAAAGGAATAGTAAGAGTAAATAACAAGACTGAGTTGTCATTCACAGAATGGAAACTCATGTTATGCCAGCAAAAGCTACTTGGCATTTTATCATCTCTTCCACTTACCTTCCCCAATTGCACCATAACCTCAGCAGACATCATTACAAGTAACAATTGACCAGCAGGACCCATGCTATGGCCAAGGACCATGCAACATGAAGAACGGGATGGGAGGAACGTCCCCATTCTACCTGAGCCTGACAAACATGCAAGAGCTATGTACACGGTTATGACTAGTTCCATCTCAGAACTGGCCCAACTGTTTAAATGGATCCAAAGTCATGGGATGCTCTTAATTCTGGGTTAACACAGGTCAAGGCTGTGTTAAGATGGCTGTGCCATTAATTACCCCGAATCAGCTTTGTATGTAGTTTAGCTGCCATGGATCTGATTCTGGTGTCCTTCATGGCAAATGATCAGTGTAGTCCTTTCATAGACCTTAGGCTATGAAAGTATATGCTACCATTTCCCTTCTCAGTCTCTAAGATGCTCCAAAATATATTTGCATGGCAACAGTTAGCAGTTATCTGTGACCTGTTATCGGATTATTCCAAAAATATAACATTAAAGGTTGCTACATTTGCAGTCACAGCCCAAAAAATCCAAGCTAAATTTGTAAAGTCCACAGTGGAGGCTAGAAATGGAAATGGAAACAGTTTGGTATAATCAGATATTTTTATTGTTATCATGCCTACGGGAATTGTCACTGCTACTGTAATTTGAAAGAGCTAATTTATAGAGTAAGTTATAAGGTTTACATTGGAAAGTGTATACTGTACTTTTCTTTATTTTATGTCATGGCCTATAGCTACTACAATAAACAACTCATTCACATATTTGCATATAGGACTGGATTACTGGGACACACTCTACATGGGGCTGCCTTTGAAGACTGTTCAGAAACTTTAGCTGGTCCAAAGAGCTGTAGCCAGATTGCTGACTAGGGATGGCTACATGGTGTGGGCAAGCCCTCTGCTGCAACGGGCTCCATTGGCTGCCAGTCTGTTTCCAGGCATAATTCAAAGTGCTGCTTATGGCCTATAAAACCTTATAGGGCCCAAGTCCAGGCTGTTTGGCTGATTCAATCTCCCAGTATGAACTTGCCCAGGCCCTGAGATTCTCAAGAGAGGCTCTTCTCTCAATTCTTCCACCATCGTAAGCTGAGTTGGGGAGAACGCTCAATAGAGGTCCTTCTCGATGGCTGCGCCTCGACTCTGGAACTCTCTGCCCAGGGAAGTCAGAATGGACCCCTCCCTGCTGTCCTTCCAGTGGCAGGTTTTTAAAGAAGGAAGTTTTAAAGACCAAACCAGGAGACAATTTGTTTTATGTATTTTAATAGATTTATTTAACCATTTCATGGCCTTTAACGATGCATTTATAATATTTTTGTGTTAAATTCTATTTTTATTTGTTTGTGTGTTTTTCAAGTTTTAAATTCTATATATTGCTTTTAGTGTTAGCTGCTTTGAGTCTCTTTTTAGAGAGATAAAATGGGGTAGAAATAATAATAATTTATTTATTTTATGTATTGCATCAGAAACAAATTGAGAATCTCACCATGTTAAAACTGTGGATGTGGCTCTTAATGAGACATGCCACTTTGCCACAAAATGTCTACGCCCTACACCACTGGAGAAATTATACTGTTCAGCCAGCATTGCACTACCTGACATCCATTGAGAAGTAGCGGCCAATAATGAAAGGACCAAAGCATTAACATCTCTGGCCAATCCTCTGTTCGGATATAAGCCAACAAGCCAATGCTTTAAATCAAGAAACAGCTTCCTAAAATCTACAGAGAAACTCGCAGGAACACCTCAGCAAATGAAAGTCCAACTGTGGCAAGTTAATATGCGGAACCTCAATCTGTAGCTGATACCAGATGAGAAACTCCTTCCTGGGCACACAGAAGACTGGACGACTTGGAAGGTGTTGAACAGACTGTGTTCTGGTACCACAAGGTGCAAAACTAACCTTAAGAAATGGGGCTACAAAGTGGAGTCCACAACATGCAAGTGTGGTGAAGAGCAAACCACAGACCACTTACTACAATGCAGTCTGAGCCCTGCCACATGCTCAATGGAGAACCTTCTTACAGTGACACCAGCGGCACTCGAAGTGGCCAGCTTCTGGTCAAATGAAATTTAGTATAATGGCAAGTTTTTAACTTTGTGTGTGGTTTTTCTATACATTATAATTGTATTCTCAATAAAATAATAGAATATAATTAGGAAAAGAAAAGAAAAGACAGCAATAAAAGTTGGCCTTCCTTTAAAAAATACTGCTAAGGCGTGAACCTATTTAGCATATAAAGTTAAACATTCACAAAAATCACTTCTTGTGTTGTTGTAGATTTTCTGGTTGTATGGCCATTTTCTAGAAGCATTCTCTCGCCTCACAGCCTCTGAGGATGCCTGCCATGGATGCAGGTGAAACATCAGGAGAGAATGCTTCTAGAACATGGCCATACAGCCCAAAAAAACTACAACAACCCAGTAATTCTGGCTATGAAAGCCTTCAACAAAACAATAACTTCTTGTGTTGTGAACAGTTGGCTTGGGACAGTGTAGGAGGGAGAGCACAAAAAACGTAATAATTTTGGAATTTTACCAGTAATCCTCTTTACATCAGTCACAGGCATTTACAAGATCTTTTGCCAGATTACAGTAAGGCAATTGGAAAACTTCTGTTTAAACACCCCTAATGAACTTGTCCGGAATTGCTGGGGCCGAACCAGAAGCCCAGACAACTACTATTTACTCACTGTTATAACAGCTGGTCTGTTTGTGCCTTTAGAAGTGGTGACTCTTAAGATGCACAGCGTATACAAATAACGCCCACAGTTTATTAACTGCTGATTAACTCAAGCCATGTCAAATGGCCAAAAGTGAACTCATGGAAATAAAAAATAAGAAAATAAGAAAAGCTATTTCACTATTCAATGTTTTCAAGTGCGAAACATTATCTGTTATGGGATAGAGGACCTTCTTAGGAGACAAAGACTATCTGCAGATAAGAACTCTTCAAATTATGAAACCATGTATGCAAAACCCAGACAGGTCAAGGCTGTGGTGTGTATAACAGCCTCTATTGGAGATATAAGTACAGACTGGGGCCATTCATACACCAAGAAACCAAAAGATTACTATTTCCAGTGGGTAATGGTCTAATCAATACAATCCTTTCATCTTATTTTCTTGTTTCCTGCTGCATGGGTTCAGTGGATCATATATCTGTAAGCTTTCAGAGCAATTTTGATAGCTTGCAGTTAATAATATCCACACTTGCTTTATGTAAATATTTATTAGAATACCCATAGCCAAAAGATAAGATTTCTTAGAAAGGAGTGCAAAAGAATACAATGCAAAATGGCTTTAATCCACCCTTCCCACCATCACCATGGCCACATGTCATGCATTAAATGAACACAGGACTTTGAAAAAAGCTTAGCATGTAATTTTGCATTTCAAGTTTAATCAGCCATAGCTTTCATTTGAAACTTATTAACTAAGGGTGAATTTGCACATGCAAAATACAATTTTCATTGAAATGCATGAAACAACCATGGCAGACAAAAAAAAAAGAACTTTTGAATTCTTTAATATTGTTTTAAATTCTAATAGAATTCTAGACTTGGAAAAAGGTTCCTGCTCAACACAGGATCTCCCCAACAGGTAGCTATCAGCCTCTTTCTGAAAACATCCAGAGAAGGAAATGTCATCACCTCTCTAGGCAATTGAT